TTGAGGAAGTGAAGAATTTTCCAGGCATGGCAGAGCCATTAATGTATCATTCATCATAATCATCTGTTGGCAATTCATTTAGACTATTGTTGCTTCAGCTCTGATAAAGTGGGTCAGTATCAATAAACCTAAGTTACAGTGACGAATCTGTAAGCAGCCAGGCAAATGGATTTGCCTGAATTTGACACCCCAGGAGAGTTGTAATTTGCTGTCACTGCAGTTCTCACTTTGGCATGAATATTAATGATCTGCATTATGAGAAAAAATGTGGCATATTGGATTTCCAGAAAGAGTTGACTTATTTACATCTACATGTCACCATCTCATGTTTAGAACAACAAAGAATAAGAACAGAGTTGAGCCATCCGCAGAGACAAAGGCTTCAGCAAAGGGAAGCATGGGCAGAGGTTGGAGGAGGGCATGACACTTGAAGTCACACTTGTGGCAAGAGTGCAAGTGGCAGAAGCAATGACAGGGCTCAGGAACAGTGCTGTGATTCCAGATGGGCAGCCACCAACAGGTGTGCATAGCTGTGTATGGTGGTTCCAGGCCTCCTTGGTTTTTCATGCAACTCACAAAACTGATGGTTTTTTTCTTTTTGCCTCCTTTGCAACAACCACTAGAAGTTTCCCAGCTGCCTGTGGAAGGTTTTGTCTTATCCCGGAGTCTTCTCTACTAGTCCTGCTCATTTCCCAAACTGAAATGCCTACTGGTCAACTGGACCTCCCTAAGGCCTCTCAGCTGCCTTGTTCCCAACTCAGTCCTCAGTGGGGGCTATGAGATGTGGTGTGGGTACAAAAGTGGAATATTTAATACAAGAAAGATTAGTGGCTGCTAATTTTTACACAACATGCCACATTAAGTCACTTTTCCTGTAGTACCTCTAACATTAGTGTGGCCCTGTGCGACTCCACACACTGTACTCATTTTTCTCACCCTAGGGCATCTCCAGTCTTGCTTTATCTGTCACGTTGTTGTCCCCCTCTTACAGACTATGCAATCTGAAAATAAATCAAAGGAACACAAACTTTGGAACCAAAGACTGAGAAACAGTCTGAGTTGGGCCTGTGTCCAGCCAGTGACATTAGGTGCATCCCAGCTTTTCTGTTTGGTCAGGGCAACAGAGGCTGACAACCTGGGAAGCCACCCCTCCCAGATACAGGCTCAAGGTAACACCCTGGACCTAAATAACAAAGGCATCTCTCAACTCCCTCTGTTTCAACAAATTCAAAAATTTCCTCATTCTTAATCAGCTACAATTTTAATTTAGTAAAACAAGTAAGAGCAAGTAAATTGAAGTTCAAAGGAACAATTTAAGGAGCAAATGGTTTAAGCAAAAAGTGGACAAAAAAACCCAAAACAGCCCAAAGGTCATTGTGCTCTAAGCACATGCCTAAAACCTTCACATAAAGTCCGTTTGTGCATTAAAAACTAGCAGGGAATATAGGAGAACTAGGTCAGACCCTCAAAACCATGGAACTTTGTAATCAGCTCTCTGGCTTCCAGAAGAAATAGCTGCTTCAGGCTGTGGGACAGTTCTCTTTGATGAAAGGGTAGCATTTGGGTACAGTAGGACAAGTAAGAGGAGTGACCCCCCACATGCACCTCTATTTTAAAAATGAGACTGCCCTGGAGAGCAAGACAGAAAACTGCTCATGTGATGTTTTGTTTCTTTACCAAATACTCCTTTTAATGTTCACCATATGCATGCATAAGCACTTCTGAAAACAGGAGCTCAGTGATCTGAGGGGAGGAGGTACCCTTATTGGCCCATTTCATAGATAGGAGTCTGAACCTCAGAGAGCTGGTGTCGCTTCCCTGGGCCCACACAGCTTGTCAGTGGCAGCACCAGGGCTCCCTCGGGCACTTAGGCCTCAGCCAGTGTCCCCAGCCTCCCTGGAGATGGGAGTTGGGACATACTTTGCTCTACCTTACTGAAGAAGAGCCAAGGCAGATGGGGCTGGTCTTCACAGGCAGTCCGTCCTGTATTCTTCTAGTAAGGATTCCCAACCATTTTAGAAGTATTTTTAATTTCAAAGCAAGGTTTTTCCTTTTTTGGTGATAATGTTGGTTTGAACCCAGGGCTCACTTTAGCAAGTGCTCTCCTACTTGATCCACCCCCCAGCCTCTTTTTGCTTAAGCTATTTTAGAGATAGGGTCTCACTTTTTGACCAGGATGGCTTACACCACAATCCTCCTATTTTATGCTTCCTGCTGTCACTGGGAGGACATGTGCCTGGCACCATGTGCCATCGAGGTGGAGTCTTGCAAACTTTTCTTTTTTCCTCAGGTTGACCTTGAACCATGATCTTCCTGATCTTAGCCTCCCAAGTAGCTAGGATATGGGTGTGAGCCACCAGCACCTGGCTTTAAAACAGGTTTTATAAAAAACATTATTTTAGGACCACATGCAATGTTTCACACCTGTAATCCCAGCTACTCAGGAGATGGAAGTAGGAGAAACAGAGTCTGAGACCAGCCTGGGCAAAAGTGTGAGACCCCAGCTAAAAAAATAAAACAAAGGCTTTAGAGGTGTGGCTCAAATGGTAGAGCACTTGCTAGGCAAGCATGAATCTCTGCTTCATACCACCAAAAAAAAAAAAAAAGCCACTTTATTTTATATGTGATATGTATTTATGTTACTACAAGACTGATTTTCTTACATGGTCTTTTATTTTGCGAGCACTTACTACACGTCAGTCCTCTTATGCAGGAGTTCTATAGACATGAATTCTAATCTTGCACCAATTTCATGGAAGAAAAAACAAAAGCCAAGTAGCCTGTCCCTCAGCTAAAGGCCAGCATGTGAAACCCAGGGCTGTGGTGGCTCGTCTTTGTTCTAGGACAGAATGAAGTATAACAGGTCCATCCTAGGAGGCGATCTGTTTCACCTAAGGGCCTCGTAGTGTGCCATGACTGGGGGTGCGCGTCACAGTTGGCTGGGTCAGTATCCATTTCTGCCTGCTGTCCTTGAGCCGTAAGTTCTGTGGTCCCTGCCTGCCCTGCTTGGGACTGGAGGCCATATGGTTTCCAGGCAACTGTGTACACAGGTCAGTCCTCAGGGCTTGTTCTTTTGATCCAGTGGAGTTTTGAAGTTTATCTTCTGCCGGGCTTCATTAAACTCAGTTGTTGGAGGTCCCCCAACCTGTAAGCTGTAAATGTTGCATGGCTCTTGGTATTTCAGGTTAACAAATTAGCCCAATTAGATGGGAAATTAGTCACTCTGACTTTCTGAAGTCACAGTGCAGGAGATTTGCAAACTAGCATTTATAGTTTTCTAACAAGCAATTTAAAGGACACCGGCATGTGGCACTTGTTTAAGAATAAAATGTCTTCACCAGTGCCCTACTCAGAAACAGATTTTGAGATTTGCTTGCGGACAGACTGGGAGCCATGGCAGATCCCACCTCTTGTTGTCTGGCACCAGCATTTCCAAGCCTGGTCTGCACTTGGGGACTGTCCATCAAGTACAGCAGGGTGACTGAAACCCACATCTAATTCTAAAGCCTTATATTTGCCAAAACATTGTTTCTGCACCCAACCATGCTCCTGTGTGTAGGCTTTAAAACAGACTGAATTCCACAAGTGGTAAATGGTAAGAACCAGCAACTTGGAGGAAGTTGAGAGGGATTCAAGGAGGCTGGCAGGCTGCTAACTTTAGGGACAGAGAAGCAATGTGGGGAAAAAAAATGGCATCCCTAAATAGCTAATTGAGGACGTAGCAGTGTCTTAGGCTCACGGGGCTGTTCCCTCGTGTGTGGATCAGTGATGGTAATCCCCACCTTGTAATGCACATAGCGTGCCTAAAACATAATAGCCACTCAATAAGCATGAGGCCCCTTCCTTCCTGGATCCTTTCAACTTCTAGCCTCAGATGCCAGCATCACTGTTCCTGGCTCAACTGCTCTTCAAACAATCTTATTAATGCCTATTAAAATGAAACCCAATAAAAGTGCCAATATTTGGTGTTGAAATAATTAATGTAGCAGAGTGAGCCCATGAAGCACCCAGGCAGGCTCCTGGTGCAATTTAGCCTCACACCTGGGGGATGAATTTCACAACTGTAATTGCTACCATATAATTCTTATTAACGTCGTGCCATAATTCCTATTTATTCCACGGGGCTTGTAAATGCATTAGGACTTGTCAACATATTATTTTACACTGTTTATGATCGGTAGAGTTATGTCCTTTGGGGCTGGATTGTGCAAAAGCACAAAGTAAATGGCTTTGGGTCTCATTAAAGAGCACAAAGTGGCTGCTTGTTGAAGTGGTTCTTGTCTCTGCTGTCCTGGACAGAAGTCAGTAAAGTCGGTTCCTAATGGAATTCTGAGCAGAGCCCTCCACCTTTCTGAGTACAGAGAATCTGTCTTCTTGTCAGAGCTGCATGGCTGTGATGGCTCAGCCCTGCCATGTGGGTGACAGGAAGGTGAAGGAGACAGGTGCATAAGGAAATGTGTCCCCCTCAGAAGCCCGACCTGCCTCCTGACACTACAGCTTGACCTCTGCCCCCCTTGTTCCATTAGAGTATCCCCCTTTTGATTCCAAAATACCTCATAGACTTCCCAGCTTATAGAGCAAAAGATCCACAGTTTATCTCCAGTTAAATGTAAGTACCTAAAAAGTACAGAATGTCATTCCCTCAGAGCTATTTGCATTTCAAGGCTAGGAAAGCATAGAACTAAGGGGACAGAATGTGGATTGGGACATCAGGCACTGGATGAGTGTAGAGAGGGGTCTGATGTCGCTGGTCGTCTGTGGTCGGGGCATCCCCGGCCATCCCCCCCAGAACTGAGTTGAAGGCAGTCCTTGCTCAGCTGGGAAGCCTTGAACCTGCTCTCTTCCCCCTGGGGCTGTCTGAGGAAGAACTGCAGTCACTCAGAGCCTGGATGCCCTGTCCATGCCCTGCCATTGCTGGTCCTCCCATCCTGGGGCAGCAGGGGAACGTGTGGGATGGCCACCAGTCCTGACAGCCCCGGTGCTTCTCTCTGCTCCTGCAGGCAGCGAGTATGACGAGGAGGAGGTGGATTATGAGGAGTCAGACAGTGATGAGTCCTGGACAACCGAGAGTGCCATCAGCTCCGAAGCCATCCTCAGCTCTATGTGCATGAATGGAGGAGAAGAGAAGCCTTTTGCCTGCCCGGTTCCCGGATGTAAAAAGAGATACAAGGTAAAAGAGGGCCACTTGGTTGGCATAACCTCGTGGAAAAAGGGCAAGTTTTTGTAGGAGAGCCACCCCTCTTAGTTCTAAAGAGAACTCATGGGCAGCAGGCCCTCACACACATGCACCTGGTACGGCCCTCAGGGGAATGCTGGCTTGGGTGAGGTATTTGGTGGGGTTTCTTTTGTTGGCCTGGGTGGGAGTTGGAAGTCAAAGACATCATTTGTTGAAGGACCATGTCTTTGACATTCTTCAAGTTCATGTCATATTGGGAACCTGTCAATATATTAATGTGGTGCTAGGCGCATAGCTCAGTGGTCCAGCCTGTGCTTAGCAAGCATGAGGTCCTAGGTCTGATCCCCAGCACAGCAGAAAAAGAATATCAGATGTGCCAACCTGCTTATTTGCCAAACACCCTCCCCAGTAGATAGCTGTCCAGGTGGTTCACAGACCACTTTGAAGTCACAAAAGCCCCTGCGGCTCACAGATTTCTTTGGAAAACATGGTAAGGTGCTTCCTTCCCTCACTGACATGAAGGGGATCAGGAGAAAAAAATGGTTTGGTTTTTCCTCCAGACTACCCACTTCCACTTCCACTCTGCCCACCCGTGTCTCTGTCTACAGCCATAACTCTGCAAGTCCTAACAGTTGGGGTGCTGTTTTCTATTAAGAAAACTCCTAACAACAAAACAAATGCCACCATATTCAAAGTGGGGGCATTTTAAAAAACACAATTGCAGGGCTGGGGAGTGGCTCAAGTGGTAGTGCGTCTGCCTGGCAAGCATGAGGCCCTGAGTTCAAGATCCAGAACCACCAAAAAAAATAATTAAAATTGCAAGCTTTTCCCACAAGGTGTTAGCAACTCTAAATTTAAACTCCAATCCTGAGATAGAAGTATAAAAAAATCACAAACATTCCTGGTACTCAGTTTGGAGAAGAGAGCCTGAAAATCTCTTCTCCAAACTGAGTTTCCCAGCCGTCCTTCACAGCTGGGAAGACGTTTCAAAGCCCACCAGCTGGTTGTTTTAATTACCGAGTACCTAGCAGTTTAGGAAGTTATGTGAGGAAATGAGAACAGGATTGGCTCTCTCTGGGTTCTTGTTCCAGTTCTGTCATTCAGCAGTTGTGAGATCTTAGGCAAGTCACTCATGAGTTTAATCAGCTGGCACAAAGTACCCAGTAAAAGTTCTTGGTAAATGTTAGCGTCCTTCCCTGCCCTTTCAAAGCTCAATTCCCTTTTCAAAGACCAGAGGAATGAGGACCAGAGCTAGGCTGGGGGTACGGCTCAAGTGGTAGAGCACAAGCTCCACGCAGAGTTTAGCCTCTAGTGAAAAAACAAGACTTGATACATGTTGCTTGCCATTATGTCTTTGATATTTTTGGAAGGTCAAACTCATTTCAGGATTGATGCGGTCGTAAACTTCAGGGCCTCTTTCTAGGGCTCTGCCTGCGTTCCCATTGCTTACACGTGAACCATCTGAATTGACTTTGGGCTAATCACTGTGATAAGGGTACCCTGTGACACTTGGGAACATACTCAGCCTGAGCACCAGAGAAAGGAGTGATGACGGTGTGGCAGGTTCTTTGGCCAGATGTGCACCTGGCTTCCCATTTTTTCCAGAGTAATAAAGCTGATGTGTGAGTTGCCGTTTTCCTGTCTCACAGTCAGACACCAAACACAATGTTCACATTCAAGCTGGGAACAGGCCGCAGTCTACTGGACTCGCCTCCACTCAGCCTTGTCCCACACCTGCTGAACTCTGGCTCTGGTTGCACATTGGCCTGGCTTTAGCAATGTCTGGTTTCAAACCTCCCCTGACCTAATTAGTAATAAAAGCTCAGGCCTGGATGGAGTTATCTAAGCTCCGATGCTGTTGCAGTCACTCTGCCTTGTTGCATCTTGGTAAATGCTTATTTTGGCTTTCTCTATTTTGACAAGGTGAGCAGTAGCAGGCATGGGCTAAGTGTATTTACGATGATCCATCTTGCAACACAGTCCCCATGAAAACAAGGACATGGGATGTTCAGGACCCTTCCCCCACTGAAAAGTGCCCTACTCCGTGCTGAGTGACAGTCAACAGGCAGATGCACATTTCTAGCATTTGGAAGCCAGGGAATGACTTTCCGCCATGTGACTCCCTTCCCAAACACGCTGCACAACTAACAGCAGTTATCTTCCACAGTCCTTGGAGCTGACCAGCCAAGCAAGCTAGTTCTTACCTGGATGCACATGCTTTAAGCTGGCGGCTGACGGCCCAGGTGAGCTGGGTACAGAGGCTGTCCTCCTCACCTGGGCCTCGGCTGGATTGACGGGAACAGCTCAGGGCTGCAGCATATCTGCCCCTCAGTGTGGGTCTGATCCTGCCTCTCTGCCTCCCCTCCCCACATCTGAGAAAGGATGGACGCAAGGAGGACAAGGGCTCACGGTGCAGAAGGCCAGAGGGTGTCTATGCTTCTGCTCTGGCTTACCTGGACAACCGTGGGGCAGGAAGCAGAGCCATCTGGTGGCTATTCGGCATCACTGGGTTACCAGTCAAGCAGGGTCTCCACCACAGGAGAGCACTGCGATCTAAGGGAAAGTAATACGAAAACCCAGAGAATGCATCTTTTTCATAGGAACCCTCTCAGCTTCCTCCTGAACAGTGAGCCACGCATCGGGAGACACCTCGCTAACAAATTCCTTCTCCCCCAGACACTTGCTGGACATGTGTGTGCCAGGCACTGTGCTGTGAAGCAGCAGCAACGGGAACACCGACCCGCACCCATCCTACCAAGTGGGCAAGACTGCTGGGACTGGATTTAGGTAGTAGAGGAAACAGCTGACTCTTTCTAGTGATCTGTGCTCAACAACTTAAGTCTCAAGCTGTTTCCTGTTTCTTTATTCCCTTATCTGGCAATTGCTGACTTGAAAATTAAGATTTCTGCTGAAATATCTCTGCCATTTCTTTCTCCAACTGTCCATCAGTTAAAGCCCTGCGCCTGCTTCCTCTTGTTTAATGGGACAAGCAGTATCAACTGTTTAACTTGTTAAATCCATACAGTCTAAATTTAGGAATGGAATCTCACATAGAAGATGCTAGTGAACCAGCAAAACCCAATAGAAATCAAGAAAGGCTGGATGTGGTGGTACGTGTCTACAATCCCAGAATTTAGGAGGCTGAGTTCAGAGGATTGTGAATTCAAGGCCTGCTTCAAGGGCTAGCTATATAGCAATACCCTGCATCAAAACAAAACTGACAGAGTGGCTCAGTGTTTGTTTAGTAAGAGCCAGGTCCCAAGTTCAAATCCTAATACCACAAAAACAAACAAAACCCCCACAAAGCTAGAAAATCTAGAAATCATTTTCATAATCCAGATTCTTATCATTAGGATATTAAGAATCCAGTCAGCATCTTGTTGCCAAGACTAACATCATATAAATAATCTTTTTTTTAAAGCACATTGAATGTTTGGGATGCAGAACACTGATAAAGGCAGGGTGTGGTGTCTCCACTGGCTCTTAACACCAGGCTGTGCTGGGTTAGGACAGGATTTGGGCAACAGGTAGCTAGTTCCCAGTGGACCAGAGAGGGGCTCACATGTAGAAAATGGACAAAAGTTCCAGGTAAGGAATAGTGAGAACTCTTATCACAGTAGTCTCAAGTTTCTAAATTGAAAAACTTGAGATTCAAGTCTTGCACTGTTAAGATTTGCACTGACCTGTTTTTCTTTCTCTAGAAAGGTATTTTGTTGATCCTGAGAATATTTTTATAGTCATCTATTATTAACTCTCTTCAGAGTGGAAAAATGATGCACACAGAAGTTCCAGGCTGAGGGAACCATGCCTATTTTCTTACAGTTTGTGAGTCTGAAGTGGGAAAATTACGTACAATTTGGAGAAAGCAGTACTTTTTCAGAGTAACTGGAGCGCACCTGAAAAGCCCTTCCATTACCTTTGAGACCCGTGTGCACAGCCCACGGTGAACACACCAGACTCTTTAAAGAGTCCCGGTGACTAGGAAAGCCCCCCCACAGGTGCCGTCTGGACCCCAGTGGAGGTTTGCCCCAGTTTGACAGACATCCTGTGACTCCATCTGATTGGTAACACTGTGTCCTCTCCACAGAACGTGAATGGCATAAAATACCATGCGAAGAACGGCCACCGAACACAGATTCGAGTCCGCAAGCCATTCAAATGCCGGTGTGGGAAGAGTTACAAGACAGCTCAGGGCCTGCGGCACCACACAATCAATTTCCACCCCCCGGTGTCGGCTGAGATGATCAGGAAGATGCAGCAATAATACGCTGGTCATAACTGTGCCAAGAAATCCTCACCAGCAGTTGCTGATTTTGAAAACAGCCACCTTTTTTCAGGGGAAGCATTCAGCAACCCTTTCAAGAATTAAATGCATGCTTTAAAGTTTTCTGTAATTTTGGAATGATGTATCTTTGTAGAGTTAATGATTTTGTACATTTGCACATGTAATCATCATACCCATTTTCATTACTTTGATATAAGGTGCTAAACAAAAAAGCGCTAGGTTCTTCAGCACATTTCCCCCAAAACAAACTAAACCGGAGGGCATGTTGCATATTGTTTAATTGTATTGCAGTGGCATCAGCGGGGGAGGAGGGCTGGCATGGAGGTGTTTTCCAGGTTGTAATGTGATTGAAATTTTTCAACACATCAACTCACATATGTTCAAAACCAAAATACCTTCGTCATCAAACTGGTTACCATGCCTTACATAATGGAGTATTTGTGAGTAGAAAGAGTTTAGGTAATGGAGATATAAAGGAGAATGTTTAACATAATATGCTAAAATATTTTCATATTTAAATAACATGCATAAAAGGTGTGCTTTTTGTGTTTTATATTACCTTGCAAATCCTTTTGCCCTTTAAAAAGCTGAAAACCTTGCCATCTGACTTACCAATCACTTTAGTGTTACAAATGGCATTGCTGTATTAAAATATTCTATTCAGTTCACTTGTTAATTTAACACACGCCCATTGAGTGCCTGTGGGGTGCAAGGGATTCAATTTATACCTACTGTTATTTGTGGACCAAGATACCAGTTTAGTAAAAATACTTTTCCCTGAAATCTATTAGGAAACACTTTGAAATACAAAGTGCAAATTCTGCATGTGAAGTTTAGCAGTAGCTTCGTCCTCACGTGAGGTTCTAAAGCACTTTGCAGTTCTCTATTGCCAACAATTTAATGCTTATGTGTTGCCAATCCTTGCAACCACACTGTCCTAACGTACCTGTAGGTTGCAAATCCTGTGGGTTAAAAATTCTAAGCACGTTTTAAAGACATTTTTGTGAAGACCCACTGCCTCCTCTTCATGCTCACTGTTTTTTGAAACTTCTTTTAAAAGCACTTTTCTCACCACACTGTACATATCTGCATATCATTGGAAATGTCTGTTTAGCTTTATAAAAACATTTTGCTGAAATATGAAAATGAGCCTTATTGACATTTAAGTGCTTCTTGCAGCAGGTGGTCAAAGAAAAGTGACTAAGATGACCTGATGAAAGCGACCTGCATCTGGACCATTCCTGGCGTTCTGCTCACCGACAGTACCATCATGCCTTGCGTGTTGTTTTCTCCCAAGTGCTATTCCTTAAACACGAGTTTACCAGTTGCCTAATTATGCAATAAAATCGCTCCGAGACAGCTAACTGCCCATAGTACAAACTGGTGAAAAGCAAACTCGAATTTCCTATGAAATAACTTGCTTCCTGTGTTCCCATTTGATGAAAAGTCTTACACATGGCTGGGAAGCAGGGAGTCCCTCCTCATTTTTTCAGACATTTTGAAATGGTGACAGTTAAACAGATGGGTAAGCTTCTTTATTCTTAAGTTGTGGATTCCTCACAGTGAGGAGGGATTTTTTAGGTACTTATAAAGACACTGCCTGCTAACTTTCCTCAGATCTGTGAAGAGTGGTCTTGGTCCTGAATTTATGTTTAAAAGGGTGATCCAGACTTAAGCCTAAGTCTAGTTGGTGCATAAGGAGGCCCTACTTGGCTATCTCATATTTACCTTCAGTTGACCAAAAAAGTTTTAGGCCAGCAATTATTATTTAGCTTTGCTCCTTCTAGTGCAAGAAACTGCAGGCTGGATCAGTAGTTGAACAGCTAAACAGTCATAAAATAGTCATTGTGCATGTTAAATTTCTTTCAATGATAATAAAACAAATTCCAATTTCTATTTACTTACTTATTCATTGTAACAGTATTACTAAACAGGTATGGATGGGAATATTTTGTTATACCGTGTATAGTGAATGTATCGTACCGTGTCTGTGAAAATTGTGCTTTAAATTATATTTTCATATGTTTTGTTGGGGACAGAGCACATTAAGTTTGGAAGAAACAGATTTTAGAACTGAAGGCAAGTTAATCAAAATCCTGTCAAGAAAAGCTGCTTAAATAAGTGTAAATGAAATCACATTTAAAATAAACTGCCTCTGACCCGAAAGAAACATGGCTCTTTCATTAGTGTCCATTTTGAAAACCAGTATCAAGTTTACCATGGGAACTAACATATCCATTCAACGCTGCCTTGTTCTGTCTTAGGCTCTGTGTTATCTTCCAGGAATTCAGATGATGCATACAGATTTTATTCCCTTAATATTTTGCTTACATTAGACTATATTACTTTCCTGTCTATAATAAATTACTTTTTATAAGCTTGGGCAAAGCACTATTTAAAAGTAAAGTCTAGAGATGAATAGTTTTTCATAATCGTAAGCAGTATTCTAATCATCAAAGTGTGCTTTTAGGTTAAAACAGTCCCTAATTGTTAACCCTAACAAACATGCTCACAGCGTGGAGCGTATTTCACCTGCAAATGCTCACAGGAAGCTGACACACGGAGTCTTCAATGCTGCTGCTGCCGGGACTGCCAGAGCCTAACAGCTGGCATCTGAATGCCTAATACTTGTTTGCACTAGGCTCAAAAATCTTTTCAAGAATTCCACTAATACAAAGTATTCCATAATACAAAGTTCTGTTCCTACAAACACAAGTGACATATACATATGCAGTTCACGTACAGCACACGGGAATGCCAAGTCTGAATATTAAGTTAACATCTTAAAAAGCTAATTTGCTCAGCATGAACCTGAACATTTTGATAATTACCCAGAAACAGGAGTGGGTGTGTGTGTGGGGGGGGGGGGAACAATGTGTACACATGTGACTAAATGTAAAAACAATAAAATAAAAAAAAACATTTTGACAATTAACAAAGCAGCAAAATAATAAATTCTTTCATATTATAAAAAAGAAAGGAATAAACTTCAGAAGTTTTTTTTTTTTTTTTTCCCCTAAGGCACTAAGAAACGATCCCTAAGATGGTGGGTTAACAAATTATTGCAAATAAATTTGACAACAATGGCATTCCGGACCTCTACCTATGCACTTCTTTAATGTTAGTGAGTACTATACAGAGAGATAACTAAAGAAACACACTACTTTGATTTAGGATTATGCATTCCGTTTTTAATCACTGAGAATGTTATTTCAAATTTATATTCTTATCAGGAAAATGTGAAAAAGATACTGCTACATATTCTGATTTTATGCCACAATCACCACTTATGAGCTCATTTAATATGAAAACAATCTGTACTGACTTATCTTGTTCCACTTTCTCATGTTATAAATACAAATTCAATAGTTTAAAAAATCAGATTATTCTAAAAGTTTTGTCAGAAAATTTGTAAAATATGCCTTAATTCCTGAAGCCACCATTTCGCATATAAAAAGGATACAAGCAAGCATGTCCAGCTCCATTTCTAATGCAGATTTAAAAACTACCATCTCAATGGGCCAAATTAAGGACTTTCAAAGAATTACCTCGCAGAACTGTTATGATCAATGCCTTTTATTACATAATATTAGTAGCCATGCTCAATCAACAAGGTCAACAGAAACTTGTAAATATTCTGCTAAGTAATCTGGTACACTATTACAGATAAGAGTTTTCAGTGCAGTAACATTAAAATAATTTCTGCATCCTTTTATTCATACAATTTTGCAAACTGGGGAATAAATAAAGATACAAACACACAAGAACTACTTTTCTAAGAGCGGGTAAGATTAACAGAAGTTAAAACTGTATTTATTGATAAGCTAAAGACTGACCCTGACACCAGTTAACACCAAACTAAAAGTAGCTCCTGGTCAGAAGAGTGCAACAGAAGGTGCATGAAAGTGAATGTGTGGTCTCCTTAGTGGTCTGAGTGACTTTAACTGCTAAACTGCATTAGCTCAAGTAAAAGCTAACTAGTCAAAGTTCAGAACATTCTGATCAAAATGTGTCTGGACATGCCTTTCAAACCCCTGCTGGTCGTAGTCAGGAGGGAACTGCTCGCTGCACATTGGGCACACCTTCCAATGACTTTCAACATGTTCTTCGAATTTGCTCTGATCATAGTTGGGAGGGAACATTAATTCACAGAGGGGACACTTCTTGTGAACATCAAAGCTTAAAGAAAGAGGGAAATGAAAGAATTATACTTTCTCAAATTTATAACGGCAGTAATTGTCAGTTTATGACAAGGTCACATGACTTTAGCTAGCTGACATTCACACCAAACAACACATCTTGCAAGTCTATTTAGTTACTCCAGAAACCTCTTTTTGTACTAAAGAAAAATGTTTGCTGTAGATAATTGTTGGTAACGAAAGTCTCTATAAAGCCTCTAAATTTAGTTTTACAATTAGATTGAAAAAGAAAATACTTTCTTGTTAAAAGCCACAAGAATCTAATGCATGAAATGAGATTTAATAGCGAAAATTCTTTCATTTTTAATTAATAGGAAATGTCTTTATAAAACTACAATGATGAACACAACTCACAATTTCCAAGTGTTCATTTGGTTTAGTAGCTAGGAGTTTTTATGACATTGGTTCTCAAAAGAATTACACACATCACAATCATTCAGAGGGCAGGTTAAGATACAAACTTCTGGGCCCTACATCTGGAATTTCTGGTTCAATATGCCAGGCTCCTGAGTATTTACATTTCTAACAAGTTCCTTGGAACCAATAGTCTTAAATAATCCTGTATTAATCCTATAAATGAAAGAAAAAAATTTACCTGGAATCAAAGCAAAAGCCTGTTCCATGCACACGTAAATGCTGACTTGGCGGGTCAGAAGCAGTGAGCACATTCTCCTCTTCCTAGGCAAGAAAATAAATAAAAATTAAAAAGTTGCAGCTTTTTGAGAAAAGCAAAGCCAAATATAAAGTCTTTAATTCAATTAGGCACATACATAATATAAAGGAAGTAAAATTACCCAATTAAAACTGTCACACAGACATATGTTTGAAAGCAAATTTTTATAGATTATGTCACTATGGACTAGCAGTTTGGCCTTTTCAAATATGGTACACCCTCTAACCTATGGGACATTCATTCCAAGATTCATTTGGATACTGAAGATAGTATCCAAATGGCACACATTCAACATGTTTAATGTTCTCTCCTATACATCCACATCTATGATAAAGTTTAATTTATAAGTCAGGCACGGTAAGAGATTAACAATAAAGTAAAATAAAACAATATAATGTAACAAAAGTTATGTAAATATGGCCTCTGTTCCTCTCAAAATATCTTATACTTTTACTTTTTTACTTACAGGAAGCTCTTTATGGCTTTCTCTTTGGCATATCCAAATGGCCAGCATAATTTCTGTAGTACTTTTACTAAAGAAAATATGGTTATTTTCCTTAGTGCTTATTGAACATAAGCACTACGATATGTGGCAGTCTGAACACCAAGACTACTAAGTGAGTAACAGGCAGGTAGTGTATACAGGGTGAATACACTAGAAAGAGATGATGTCTCATGAGATTTCAACACACTGCCTAAACTGACATGCAACTTAAAATTTATAAATTGTTTATTTCTAGAATTTTCCATTTAATATTTGTAGACCACAGTTGTGTGTAACTGAAACCACAGAAAACATTCATGGTTTGGGGGTGCTACTATAAAAAGCAGTGCTCAGTGAAATGCAGTATTTGTGAATGACGCTGAGACAAGTAGAACTTCTCAAGCCTATATATGTAGGTAGTTTTACTATTTTTATCATTCTAGAGACTGGGTGACCACTTTCATAAGCATCTTAAGCCTGCACTGTATTTATTTCAATTCCCAATAATTGTAAATTTTCAATTTTCAATTGAATTTCAATTTCAATTTCTAGGGCAGAAAATAATCTAGTACTCTATTTAAAAAAGATTTCTACCCAAAGTTATTAATTTCAGAACTGAAAATTGCAAATCCAAAAGGCTTAATACTATCAATGGCTAGTATTTAAGCTAAAGTGCTAATATAATCTTGTAAGCAAAGTTTACTTGGAATTCCATACTGCAATCTATTTAGGAACACTTAAAAATTAAGAATTTCTTCTTTAGGGGGGAGGGGAAAAAGGAGAATGATGGAGGGGGTAAATTCTCAAGTATGATATATTTGATATATTGTAAGAACTTTTGTAAATGCCACAATGTACCCCTAACCAGCACAACAATAAAAAAAAGAATTTTTTCTTTAGAAAAAACTTTGTATTAACAGTATTTTAATCCCTTCACAGGTCTAAGTCTCTTACTGTTCATCTGCCTTTAGACCAACTCATCAGCATAATACTGTTTCTATTATGAGTTGGTTTTTAAGCAAAGGAAAGAAGTAAATATAGTTGTATTTGAAACCCAAAACTTCTCAAACTCAAAACACACTCTACTCACACACACACAAAAATATTTTTATATAAAATATGTAACAAGCTTGGACACTTGAAGTAGTATTAAAATAGGTTACTCTTAAATAATAAAAAGTTACTTTACACTGTATGGTGGTTCCTCAAAAATTAAAAATAGAATGCCTACACTATCTATCAATTCTACTTCTACATATACACCCCGAAGAGTTGAAAGCAGGGAAGTAGACAGGTATTTGCATGCTCATAGTAACATTATTCACAACAAGCAAAATGTGGAAACCACCCAAATCAAATCCCTAGCGATGAATGCATGAGAAGCCCGGTGTGCTGGCTCAAACCAGTAATCTCAGCACTCAAGAGGCTTAAGCAGTAGATTTAAGAGTTCAATGCCAACCTGGACTATATTAAGACCCTACCTCAAAAAAGAATTAAAAAAAAAAAGGGAGAAGGAAATTTTGACACTTCACAACATGGATAACCTTGAAGACATTATGCTATGTGAAATAAACCAGTTATAAAAAGAAATACTATATGATTCCACTTACAGAGGTACCTAGAGTAGTCAAATTCAAAGAGATCAAGCAGAAGGGTGGTTTTTCAGAGGCTAGAAGCTGAGGAAGGGCTGTTTAATGGATGTGAAATTTCAGCTTTAGCAAGAGGAAGTTTCTGGAGACTGGTTGCACAACAATGTGAGTGCACCTACTATCAAACTGTTCACTTAAAGTAGATAAAATTGTAAACTTTATGTTATATGCGCTCTACCACAATTTTTTTTTTAAAAAGCTATCATAAAATCAAATTCTAGTCATATATATTCAGAGTATAACAACTGAGTTATACTATCTGAATCATTAGTAACCAGTCTATGGGAATATATCTACGCAGTATTTCCCAAACTATGCTGAAATTCCACTTTGCTAGAAATTATCAATTGAAATATTTAAGTACATTAAAAAATTAGTAATGACAGCACTTGAGAGGCTGAGGCAGGAGGATTCTGAGTTGGAGGCCAGCATGTGCTACACAGCAAGACCAGCATCAAAAATCCAACCTCCCTCCCCTCAAAAATAAGAACTAGCAATGAATATAAAGGAAGAAAGGCTTTCCAGTTATAAAACTTTTACTAAACTGGTATTTATAACTCTAATTCAAAAAGCATGCATTAAGACATTCATATTCACATATCTGCAAAGACTGGATAACATTTTTTAAAAACCTTTGTCATGACTGAGCGCTAATAGCTCATGCCTGTAATCCTAGCTACTCAGGAGGCAGAGATCAGGAGGACTGTGGTTCAAAACCAGCCAGAGCAAATAGTTCGAGAGACCCAATCTCGAAAATACCCAACACAAAAAAGGGCTGGTGGAGTGGCTCAAGAGGTAGCGTGCCAGCCTTGCAAGTGTGAGGCCCTGAGTTCAAACCCCAGAACTGCCAAACAACAACAACAAAAAAAACCCAGCAAAAACAAACAAAAAGTGAAGGCCCACAAAATGGGGGAAACTCTTTCAGATAATGTAATGGACCTAACTGAAAAAGAACCAAAGGATCTGAATAAACATTTCTGCAAAACAGATAAATGAAAAGATGCTTAATAAGGAAAATGTAATCAAAACCACAACAATATACCATCTCATACTCGATATTAACCTAACCCCTTTCCCAAAAGAACAAAAGGTGTTCAAACAAAAATGTGACACAAATGCTCAAAAGAGCACTATTCACAGTAGCCAAAAGGTAAAAAACAATTCGAATGTCCATCAACAGATGAATGCATAAACCAAAATGGTATATTCAAAAAATGGAGCATTATTCAGCAATAAAAAGGAACAAAGTATATTTTCATGCTAAATATGCATACATGCATGCTGAAATCATGGATAACTTTGAAAATATTACATTAAATGGCCGAGAAGACTATGCATTATGTGATTTGATTTATATAACTGAATGTTTACACCTATGATTAAAGTAGATGAAGGCTAGGGGGTAAGAAGAGAAAGATGACCACTAAAGGAGGTAAGATTACTTGTGAGAAAAAATTTCCAAAATTGATTGTGGTGATTGCACAAGTGTGTGACTATATTAAAAAAACACCAAATTCTATCCTTCTGGTAGTGAACTATATCTCAAAAATACTACCTTTCTAAGTGACCTGAATTTTAAACAATTTAGTAGGCAAAAAATAGAAACAAAAATTTTTCTTTAAACTTAATCACAAACACTGTATATTATGTGAATTTCACTTAACTTTGCTGTACTGTATATTGTGTACATACTGGAAAAATGAGTCTTAATTTTATAATATCTAGTCTCAAGATATTAAAGAGGTTGCTGATGTATGACAAAAAAAAAAAAAATCCCACAAACACTTACACAGCCCTCACTATATGAAAGCTATCACATGGCTATAGAAAGGGGAAAGTCAACATTAGAAGATGCCAATCAAGGTGGCTGGAAATATAGTTCAGCTGCACTTTCCTAGCATGAATGAGGCTCTAGGCTTAATCACGATCACAGCTCTAAGAAAAAAAAAAAAAAAAGACTGGCGATGTGGCACAAGTGGTAAGAGAGCCTGCTTTGAGAGTTTGAGGCCCTGAGTTCAAACCCCAGTCTCACCAAAAACAAAAAAAATTTTAAAAGAGATAAAATAGTAAAAAACCAAAAAAATAAAGGACACCAATCTCATATTTAATACCAATTAGAAATAATTCTATTAAAAAGATGCTAAAGGAACAGCACCGAATTCATTTAATCCTTACATAATGTCCAATTATCTATTATCTATTTTTTGATATGTTACTTATGTTTTTGGTGTCATATCTAAGAAACCACTGACTAATTCCAGATAACAAAAGAAAACATATGTTTTCCCATTTAGGCCCAATTTGAGTTAATCTTTGTATATGGTGTGAGGTAGGGATATTAAGTTTTCCCAGCAACCATTTGTTACAAAGATTCTTTCCCCATTGAACTATGATATTCCCAATAAAGATGAATTGGCTATAATTATATGCTACTTTCATAAACAAAAAAAAATTTTAAATGGTAAAATCTGAGAAAAGCAAAACTCAAAACAATGCCCCGTGACAGATGGGAAATGGCTATGATTCCTTCAAGATGTGATTCTCAACCATTTTGGAATCCTAGACCCTGTGAGAACCACAGACCTTTTCTGAGAATAAATGCTAAAAATGTGCCACAAAAAATATTTTATCAATAAAAACAACCTTTAGTTTGGGGGTTCATTGTGAAGGACTTACATGGAAAGCTACAAGTAAGCAGCATATTAACAGAGCATGTGAAGAGGAAAAGAAGGGAAACCATCAACAAAGGTGTGGAAAATAGACTACACATTCAGGGAGGGTTTTAATCAGTGCAACTCAAAACTTTCCCATCACATGACCACCTAAGGATTTTGTTAAATGCTGCAGTATGAGTCTCAGAAGGTCTGGTGTAGGAGATTCTGCACAGCTGTCTCCTAGAAGATAACAATACTATTCGTAAACAAACCACATTTTTTGAGTAGCAAGGGATATTAGTTTTCTAGGGTATTAAGTGCACAAAAATACACAGAAATTCGGTATTTGTCAAATATGGTGTGAATAACCAATTCACGACACCTGTTTCAATGCTAGACAGTACTACATTCTTTTCAATAACATCCTACCTTTGAGAAGTTGGATCTTTGACAGTTGCTGTGATATAAAGCAAGTGCCATGAAAAAATCAACAGGAAACAAGAAACAAAGGTAGCTTGTCCAACATGATTTCAAAGCTTGAGAAGGTGCATGATGGCCAATGGTCACACACATCCATTAATAACTGTGGTTATTTTTTAAATGAAATAAAATCTTAATTTTTAACTTAGGTTACCAAATTTGTTAGGAAATAAAATACTTGTTAGGTATTTCTTTTGGCCTATGAGGTACTATGAAAAAACAAAAATAATTACTAAAATGCTAAGGGTCCCATGAACTGCAAAAGTATGGGAACCTGTGGTATAGCCTTATCCAATAGATTTTTAGGACTATAGCTTCCACAGACAAACTGACAAGATTCAGTCCTATCTCTACTTTTACCAGCTGTGTGATTTGGCACCATCTATTTAATATGTAACTCACTTTCCTGCACTACAAACTAGTGACAGCGATATCTCCCAACTCTGAGCACTACTATGAGAACAAATAAGTTACTCTAAGTAAAGAGCTTATCATTAGCTGGCTTATCATTAATTATTGCAATTATTATGTAAATGGGAGTTATAAAAGGATTTTGAAAGCTGACCAGTTTCTAGCGCAAAAGAGAGAAGGTATGTCAGGTGTAGGAACTGAGGTAGGTTGAAATAGTAGGGCAACTCTGATCAAAGGTGCCTAGTGGTGCCTATGGCTATTAATCGCTCCCAAGGCAAAGAAACAGGGAGAAGAACAGGTCAACTAAAATTTGCTTTCCACATTCTTACTTAATTTGCAAGTATTCTTTTCTGTTATAATGACAAGAATTTAAAAGGTTTTGAATGTACAAAAAGCTTCTGTTTATGTGAAAAATCTTTGATAACAAAATACAATTACTACAGGTGTGCACATTAAGAGTCTTTCTAACTCATTACCAAGTCAAAGCATGTCAGCAAATGAGCACAAGATTCTAACACTGCTTCTCATGGGTTTGCAGGAGGGCAAAGCACACAGATCAGAAAGAACATTCTGCTAATTAAACTGAAGCAGATGACTATGGAAGAGAAGGGCTTGTCACATGTAACATCTGTGCCAAGAATGATCACATTAAATATGCAAAATGTAAAGTAAAGGTGTGAAAAACTAGTCAGATGATACTCTAGACCTTAAATAGGCTACAAAAGTTCTGACAGTTTTCCTAATTATTCCCAGTAATGGACACAGGAGGCCAAAAGGCAGGAGGGAGAAATACATTTTTCTCCATTATGGGTGTTGAACACTAGGGCTAAAATCATGCCTGTCTGAACACTGATCAGTTTCTGCAAAGGTTAATAGCAATTAAATGCAGCAAACTAGACTAAATGAGAAACAGGTCATGATACCACTGTACATGCAAAGAGCACAATAAAGCATTTCTTTTAAATTTATCTTAATGCATAGGAAATCCAAAAAGAGCTGCTATGAAGAAAAGAATCTATTTTCCAAAAAAGGGCTGTTCTAAAGAAACGAACCTATTTAGTGAAAAAAGTCTCTTAAATAACAAAAATTTTAATGACATGCTATATAAACAAATTCAATTATCAGTATTATGTTGTTGTCACAGAGTAAGAAATCGTACATGAATAATACAGGTATCTAAAAGAATACTTCTCAAAAAAGAAACATAATGAAGATAGTAGAGACCACCTTAAAATTTAAACTAGGACATAAAATACTAAATCAAAAATGGCATATTATGCTTCAACATATACTGTAACATTTTGCTTCTTCCATTTATTACATCTACAATACAAAATGTAGTTATTTAGTAAGTGATAATTAAGGTTAAAGTGATACCTACAATATCCTGAGGTCGTTCTCTGAACTTAATTTTCTGCCTTAGTATGTAAGTCTGAAGCATATCATTTGAGTTTTCAAATTTAAATATAAGGAAGCTTTTCCAAAAGTGAAGTAGACAAACAAACATGGACAAATACAAATGTATGCCATTTCCACATACACACATACTCTTTGTCCTCCACGTAAGACAGAAAACAAAAAGGGACAGGGTCAGACAATGGCAATTCAATTTACTTTGCTATCCTCAGGGTCTTCCAAACCATCAGGGCGACTAAGGTTTCGAGCAGGCTGGCTACAAACAACATTGTCTTCCCAAGAGGGGACTCTGACAGGTGGCCTTTGGATTTCATCTGGGTAAAAAGCACCATCTGCTCCATCTGTAATGAAATTTTGGAAGAAAGTTAAAAAAAAAAAAAAAAGGAAAGGAAAATTTGGGGAAGGGCAGGGTGAACCAGTTACTAAAATTAAAATCTCTTTATATACATATGATGAACAGGATGTAAAGAATGGTATTAGGGGACAGGAGTGTGGCTCAGTGGTAGAGCAAATGCCTAGTGTGCAAAAGGCCCTGTGGGTCGATCCCCAGCACCTCAAAATGAACACAAAACAAAAAAGAATGGTATCTGCATTAAAAAAAAAAAAGCAGCAGCCAGACATGGTAACATAAGCCAACAATCCCAGCACTCAGGAAGCAGAGGCAGGAGGATCATGAGTTCGAGACCAAACCTGGGTTACTAGATCCCGCCTCAAGGAAAAAAAATAAACTTTTTACTTTTAACCCACATGATTCAAACAACTGATCCATGTGTAATAAGCAAAAAGAATACACACTCATGCCGGCTGCCAGTGGCTCACAACTGCAATCCTAGCTACTGGGAAGGCAGAGATTAGGACTGTGGTTTAAAGCCAGCCCAGGGAAATATTGTGCAAGACCTTATCTCAAAAACACCCAACATAAAACAGTGCTGGCAGAGTGGCTCAAGTGGTAGAGCATCTGCAAGCATGAGGCCCTGAGTTTACACTCCAGTGCCACCAAAAAAACCACCCCCCCAAAAAAACACTACACATTCATGATACATCACTTGTACATGGTCCCAGGAACAGTATTAAGACATTAAAACTGCAAGTTATACAAATAAAATATTTCTGTTAGAGTAGATTATACCAGCAATTCTCTAATCCCATGAATATAAGCAAAACAATCTCCAAATTCAGCAAACCACAAGCCAAAAATACTTTAATAACCTCTTGTTTCCTGTGTTGCATAAGGATTACCAAACTGCAGAACTGGTTGAGCATTTGGGAGTGTAGGAACGTGCCCATTTGGCTCTGACCGTGTGCTGCGACACTGTGAGACCTGATGGGGACTCTGACCTTCCGTTTTTCTTTCCATTTGATGTTCTAAATTCCTTTTAAGTTCCTAAAATTAACAGAAAGATGAATAAGCAAAGCAATCAAAGATTTTACAAAAGCAGCATTCAACATTTGGTCAAAATATAGCCACATTTTTATTTCCCTATTATATTTCAGGCATGCAAATGGAAAGACTGGTTCTCAGCTTCTCATTAATGACCCTTCACATTTACCAAAATGTATTATTTTAAAACATATTTTTAAATTTTTTTGTGCCAAAAGTACCCTTGTTATTCAACTAATTTAGGGAAAACTGTGAAACTTTTACTACTTAGCTATTAACAACATATAAGAGTCTTTTAAAAAACTCTTCACTTCCCTAGTGAATTCTACCAACATTTAAGATTAAAAAAAAAAATCCTACATATATATGTATATGTTTTATACATATATATATATAAAACCTTTTTCAAAATATAGACAAAGAAACATTTCCCAACTTATTTTACAAGGTAAATATTATTCTATCAAAACCAAATAACATTTTAAGAAAATTATAAACCTCATCCCTCACAGAAGTAGATGCAGAAGTACTTATTCACAAATTAAACCCAACAATACTAAAAAATGAAACATCAAGACCAAATGAGTTTTATCACAAGTATGCAAAGCTAAACACAGAAAAACCAATCAATGTAATTCACCGTATTAACAGAATGAAGGGTTGAAAACCATAGAATCATTAACAGATGCACAAAAATTTTTTTTACAAAATTCAAGTCATTCAAGTTTTTCTAAGTCTCAGCAACCTAGCTCTTTTTTAATCTGATAAAGGACTCTTAACAAAACCTATAGAAAACCTTAATGGTGAGAAACTAAATGATTCTACTGAACCTCGAATTTAAGGAAAGGATGTATGCTGTCACCATTTTTGGGGAAAAAAAAACAGTAAATTAAGGCAGACTGACAAAAATGAAGAAGTAAAACTTTGTATTCACAAATGACATAATTATGTATGTAGAAAAGTATTATGGCATTTGCAAAACTAAGAAAATGGTGAACTACAAGGTTGCAGTTCTACTTAGAGCACAATCAATAGCTAAGATCAAACAAAAATAAACTTAACAAAAGATGTAAAAGATCTATACACTAAGAACAACAAAGCAACACTTAGTGAAATTAAAGACAGCATAAACAAATGGTCTGGAAAACAGTTTTATGCTATGAATTCCCACAAAACACTGTATCTCTAATGCAATCCCAATGGAAATCCCAGAAGGCTTCTCTGTAAATTGACAAGATGGTTCTAAAACGGAAATGCAAACTCCCCAAATGAGCCACATTTAAAAAGCAGAACATCTAAGCTCTGGAGAGGTGGAGGCAGGAGGACTGTGAGTTTGAAGCTAGCCTTGAGCTCAAAGCAAATTTGAAGCCCCTGTCTCAAAACCTCCCCACCCCTGCTCCCAAAAAGCAGAGCGAATGACTCAAAAATATCTTAATCAAGTTCTCTGTCAATATACAGAAGTATCTAGTGTTAAAGAACACTTTCTCAATAGTTTTTTCTCTAGAAAGTTAATAAACAATTATAATCTTTTTAAAAACATTATTTGCTATGTTGCTTTATTTTCCTTCCTCTACCCTTTTCAAATTTCTAGTAAGGGGGTTATGCAGAATTAGCTGAAGTAATATGGACATAAGAAAATGATAATTCTAAAGGTGCTTTTAAAGTAGCATGTGAAAATTAAAAGGTACTTTACTATCCCAGTTCTAAATTTAAGTTGATAGGACCTTTAACCCTACAGTATGTACTAAATTACTTCATAATGCTAAAAATTATTTTTTAAAAACAAATTATGCTTTAAAAGTACCAGTGAAGCCAATTATGGTGCAATGAAGAAGTTACCTATCAACAAAATAGTACGTATAATCTGGATTACAACACTCTGAATAAAACCGGGACTCATGAATCTATACTAACAAAAATCAATGCACAAACAAATGAGCTCTTTTTTTAAAAAAAAATTCTTAGTAGTCAATATAAAAAAAAAAAAAAGATGAGTTAGAAGATCATTAAGGATCCTAAAAATACTGGTGAAAGTTTGATGACAAACACAATGTTTACATAGTCTCAGATCATCTCCATACAAATTATTAGTATCAAAAAGGAAAGTATCAATTTTACATTAGCAAAATCTGGTGGATACTACCTTTACCAAGTGATCAAAGTTAAAAAGGATGCACAAATTCTGTGGATACCATTTCTCACCTATCACGTATGCAAAAAGCAAGCATGCCTGATTCCACAGGGAAACAGATACACTTCTCATACACTACTGTACAAACATAAAATGGAAGGGAATTTGGCGATAATTAACACAGTACACATATATTTTCCCTCCTGTTCAACAATCACACTTCAAGGAATTTATCCTGAACACAAAACCCTTCCAAACAATAGAAAACTACATATGCATAAAATTATTCATGGTAACATTATTTATAAAATATTGTAAAACTATCGAATGTCCAAACACAGTTTATTGAATAAATTATATGTACAAACAATGGAATATTCTTCAGCTGCAAAAAAATTTTAAGACTATTTAAAAAGATCTATGAGGCTCGTATACAATTTTTTCAGAATATATTGAGAAAAAAAGCAAGAATTAGGCAAAAACTTCAGAGAACAAAAAGAGAAATAAGAAAACATACATATGCTTATTGTGAAAAAGAAACAAAAGGATAAAATAGATTGGGGAAGACAGAATGGAAGGGGGTATGAAAAAGAGTACACCCTTTTGTATACTTTGGACTTTGGGAAAACACATTAGTGTCTTACATATTCAAATAATAATCACCAAGGATGGGGAGAACATCTGAAACCAAATCCAATCAAAAACAAATGTACCCATAATACGTACTTCAAATGGGGGGCAGGGATGTAGAGAGGAGGAAAGAGAGAGAATACAAATAAACACAAGTTAACATTTGGGAGCAGGAAAAGACTTGAAAACAACCTTCAACTCTCTTCTTAATAGGCTTCCTTCTCATAGTAATATGACTAACAATTCAGAAAAGCTTTATGTAGTCTATTAGGTTTTACAAATGTATAAATGTGTTGATTTATGTAATTGGAAACAAGCAATCTCACTGTAGACAGATGCCCAAATAGGAAGTAAGCTATACAAGGAAGAATTTCATGGGGTTGGACCAGAACTTATGACACCTAAAAAATAGAAATTTTTCCTAGCTCTGTCCATAGAAAGTATGTAGAAGCAATGAGCATCAGCAATATTAAGCATAACTAGAGCCCCACAACTTTGGTGCCTAAATTCACTCTCCACTGAAAAGAAACCAAGACTCCTTAGAGTCAACTGATTCCAAAGTTGGACAAGAATTTCTTTCTCACAGAAATGACTGATTCCAACAAAGGAAAAGAAAAACAGAAGATGACCCTGGAACATCTTATCTTGAAGTGTTTTTGATACCTGGCATATCAGGAATCTGAAGGTGCTCCCATTGATCAAATGTGAAACTATATGAATGTGAAACTGAGGATGGCAATAAATTATTATCCACTGTCTAAAAAGTTTCAGACTGATGATTGTCAAGACAGATGACTGGTAGGTAGACAGAAGGATAGATATCGTAGATAGTGGATGAATAGACAGACATAAACAATGAAATAAAATTTACAACATACATAGTGGTATAAATAAATACATATGTGCATGATCATGTATGTACGTTTGATCTTTGTCCTGGCTCCTGACATACAGTGCAAACCTTTGAAATTTCCTAAGTAGTAATTTTAGCCCATATTGAAGGTTATGATAATAGTGTGAACTTGGCAGTAAGCTCTTAGTTTTAAGGGAGCGGCTAGTCACCAGAAGGATCAAGAACATAACGTAATTATAAGGCTGGAAATGTCTGGACATTCCCCCACTCCCTCACCTCCTGACTGACTACAAGGTAAAGAGAGTGGCTAGAGATTAAATCACTTGGTCAATGACAATTTAATCAATTACGTCTACATAAGGAAACTCCGCATAATAACTCTAAGGGCTTGAGGAACTTCCTGGTTGGTGAACATATCAATGTCTAGGGCAATGATAACACCTGGAAAAAACATGCAAGCAGCTCAGTATCATCACCACCTTGCCCTCTGTATTTCTTTAAATTGGCTGTCTCTGGGTTATATACATTATGGTAAAACTATAATCGTAAGTACTATGATACTATACACTGTTTAATACCTTCTCCTTGGAGAGGTTTTCCAAATGTGAAGACAGACTACTTATTTCTTTGTCTTTCTCTGCCAATTGAAGCTGAAATTAAAAAAAAAAATTATAAGTAAATTTTTTTATTTGTTTTTTGTTTTGAGACAGGGTCTTGCTATACAGCCCAGGCTGATTTCAAGTTTACAATTTTCCTGGATCTACCACCCAAATACTGGAAGGAATTACAGACACAAACCATTCCTAACTTAGTATTTTTCATTGTCTATTTTCTCATACCTTGAGATCTATTTTATACTACTCTATCAAAATAATTCCTATTATACAATCAAGTGTTTGCCTTAGTTCTTAGTCTTTGACTTCTCTGAATTACTTGTCATTACTGACCAACTTCTCTTATTAAAACTATTCCATTAGCTTATGTAAAACTGTATCATTATGGTTATTCTCCAGTCCCTTTTTTTTTTTAGCATATACTTTTTCTTCGCAAACAAAAATATGAGTTTCTTTTCTTGGCTTTTTCGCTCCACATTCTCTTTGAAAAACTCTCTTCCATACCTTCAACTATCAGTTTCATGGAAATAAATCACAAATATTAATTTACATATCACTCTTTCTCAATTTCCAAATCTGCCTTTTTAACTGGTGGCTATACATGGTTTCATTGCTACCTTTCCCATATCAAAGAGCAAAATGTCCCAAGTCTACTTTCCTACATTTCTTAACAGATTTCACCAAAATCAGAGCATACTGTGCCTAAAGCTTACTATATGTTAAAATACTTGTTCCTTCTCCTTTTCCATCACTCACCAACACTTTGACCTAGAGAAATCATTTATTCATTTAATAATTACCATAACCTATTAGATTTATAAGTATTAATGGGTACAAATACAAATAAAACTATTCTTCAATAGTTCCTCCCTAAAGATGTATTTCAGAATTTCTTTTCTAGACTTATATCCTTTCGAAGGAATAGTATCCAAAAGGAGGTGGCCTTTTATTTTTAAGAATATTTTTACTGATTTTCTCACCTTCAAACCCCTCCCACCTATGAATCCTCTTCACTACCTAATTATTTTCAAAGGGACCCATTCCTGTTGGGATATTAAAGCCTATTAATCAAGACTGCTCATAATTCTCAAGCTCTGCTCTGTACTTCTGATTTCCAGGCCTGTATTAATGCTTTCCATCTACTTAGTGCTAGTGCTTCTTTTTCCTAGTTCTGTATCTCTTCCCAGCCCCTCCAGTTAAGTCTTTCAAAGGTTTAGTTTCTCCATAATGCCTTCCTCTTAGTATCTGACTGGAAACCCCAATCCTAGGGAACTTAAAATGTTTCATGTGGGAACTTTATCACATTTTACCTTACCTTATAAGTCTGTGTTAAAACAGGGCAAAATAGAGGAAAGGGCACCAAGCAGTCTTCAATAAATATTTACTAAGTCATTTTCTCAGCAATATGCCAATTTTTAATATATTCATTATTCACACTTTACAAATAATAGGAAAAACTGCCAACCAGTGAAAACAATATCTACAAGGGTACCAGAAACATTAAGAACCTCATGAATCTTCATTCAGACAATAAAAGATAAAAAAGGACCACCAGCAAAATTATCTTAGCCAGCTTCTCCAGCTCCCACAAGGGAAACCTAAAGTAATTCTAATTGAAGAATTAGATTGTAGATGAAATTAGCTATGTGTAACAATGTTTAATCACTTGAAACTTCCTGGTTTTCAGTCACAAAAACAGGTAAATTGTTTATATATAATATATATCACATTACACTTTATTCCTTAGAAAAAATATTTTTCTACTTATTAATTAGGCAGGCATCCTGCTATTTCTTTTTTCCTCTAACATTCGTACTGATATCACTCACCATTTGGATTTGTCTGTTGCTAAAGTTGCACTGGCAAATATAACTTTCATGTAAAGCTCTGATTCCAAACACCAATCCCATCAAAAAAAAATATATATATATATATATATTTATATATATATAAAAATTTTTGGATGAGAGGCATGGAGGATAACTTGCCTAGCAAGTACAAGGTCCTGAGTTCAAACCCCAGTACTTTAAAAAAAATAAAAATAAAAAAGATGTAATTTTAAAAGCCATCTGAACTTACAGAATTAAACCACAATACCAGTGAATGTGAGTATTCGTTTCCTCAGTTCATAGTGAATAAACTATATTCAAATACATGTTATATTTTAATTTAAAGAAGAAAATTCTACTTTAATTCAAGTATTTTTATTCAAGTCAGGTGTGGTGGTACATGCTTACAATCCCAACACTAAGAGGCTAAGCTAAAGCAAGAGGATCTCAGGCTCCAGGTCAGCCTGGGCTACACAGCCCAAATATTTGTTGAGTAATACATTAATTTAACATTAAATATTATTTGCTCACTGTAGCCAAAATCCATATTCAAAACGTACATTAGACTGATAAACTTAGAAAACCCATCTTCAAAAATCCCAGGTACAATTAAGTGTTATGCCTCATGTTTGCACACAATGAGTGCTAAACTTACTTTATAATTGTCCTCTACTTCAGCTAGCTCAAGTTTCACATTTTCAGCAATTTTTACTTGTTCCTTCCACTTCAGCTCCATTTTTGCAAGTTCATCAGCATATTTACTGCATTTGGTCTTCTCATCCTAAATGAAATTAGTATAATTACCAAAAGATTTTAAATCCAAAGAAAGCAAGCCATCTATATAAACACATTTAGATGTGTGCTGAATGTTTAGTATAATACTTTTGCTATAGACTCAAAATTGAACTGACCAAATGTCTATGAACAGAAGACTGGATACATCATTTTATATCCACACAATTTAACAGTATGTATCTATTTAAAAGAATGATATATGCATAAGTTGACAAGAAAAAAATGTCAAGCTATTTTACTGAAAATAACATGTTGCAAAAACAATATATAGTATAGCCTCATTTTTTTTAATAAGTTGTTTTACACAATTATATATGATGTCTATATGGCCATGTGTAGAAAAAATATAAACCAAAATACTAATAGCTCTTGTATTTGGGGATCAGGAACATGGAAGTACTTTTTACCACCTCTACTCTGTATCTGAAATGCCATAACATTTCATCACAAGGGTATATTACTTTTGCATAAGGAGGAAATAAAAATTATGTATTTTTAATGACCATTTTTTCCTTACAACCTTAAACATTGTAAGAAGTAACAAATCATGACAAAAAGATAAATAAGCCAATTTCATTTTGAATTGGTTTTTCCAAGGTGAAGTTCAGAAATGTACTTTGAGCAATTAAACAGGAAAAGAAATGCCTTTTAAACAAAAATGCTACATCAACTTCATACCATACCCCATACCATACACAAAACTTAACTCAAAATGGTATATAGACCTAATTATAAAATCTGACTATAAAACTTCTAGATGGGCTTGGAGTGTAGCTCAGTGGTAGAACACTTGCCTAGTGTGTGTGAAGCTCTGGGTTTCATGCCCACTACCACAAAAATAAAACAAAAATTGCCCAGAAGATAATACAGGAGAAAAATTTTACCACCTTGGAGTAGGCAAATGTTTTTAAACATAAAAAAGCACAAAACATACAAGAATAAACTGATCAACTATATTTATCAAATTAAAATTTTTGATTTTGTAAATACTGACCATTAAAGATATGAAAAGGCAAGCCACAGATTAGGAGAAAACATTCACATGGGTATCAGAGAAAAGAACATGTATATAAAAATAAAAACAGTTTACATGGCAAGTTAACTCAAATTTTAAATACGATTTGAATACACACAAAATGTTAAGATGGCCAATAAGCATTAAGAAGGGAAACTCAGTACTGTCATTATAAAAATGCAAATTAAATTTAAAAAACAAAAAAATGCAAATTAAAACCACAATGACATCATCATTACATACTCACTACACTGGTTATGTAAATGAAGTAACAGTACTATTCAAAACAATTTGGAATTTTCAGAATTAAACATTCACCTCCATATCACCTCAGTATTTTAATCTCAGATATTTACCCAAGAGAAACAAAACCTTGTATACAAATGTTCATAGCAACTTTATCTGTAGCAATCAAAAATGAACCAGACTTGATGGCTCAAGTCTGTAATCCTAGCAACTCAGGAGTCTGAGATCAGAAGGTCTCCTTTCCAGGTGGGTTCACCAGACCCCATCTCAAAAAACATTGTGCACCTGTCATTCCAACTATAAAAGGAAGCATAAATGGAAGGCATAAAGCAAAACCCTATTATCAAAAATTACCATTGCAAAAAGTGCTGTTGGAGTAACTCAAGTGGTAGCATAAACTGCCTAGCAAGCATGAGGCCCTGAGTTCAACCCCCACTACCGCCCCCCCACACAAACCCAACCCCAGTTCTCATCCCTAGTAAATGAACAAATTATGATATATCATCCATACAATGGGTTACATTCTCAGTAATAAAAAGGAACAAACTAACAACATAAGCAACAATATGTAAGTCTCAAAATAATTATGCTTAAAGAGCAGGAAAAGAGTACATACTATAATGACTCCATTTTAAAGTTGTAGAAAAAGTAGGTTAATTGGTAATGGCAGAAAATAGGCCAATAAACTTCCTGAGGATGGGGACAGAAGAAGAGACAAGTGGCAAATGGGCACTTAAAAAAAGGTGGATGTGATGAAAATATGTTTGTGGTAATATTGTTGTCAAAACACTTCAAATATGTGCAGTTTATGTGATTTCAATTGTATGTCAATACTGGTATGTAATAAATTTTTTAAAATATTCAGAGTTTTTTCATTCCTAATAATAGTTTAGTGCCTCATAAACTAGTCATGTGTTGCTTAATAACAGGAATACATTCTGAGAAATGGGAACCTGTGTTTGTGTAAACAGGTTTCATTTATACTGAAGATTTGCTCTGGGAAGTAATTTTCTTCCATAATCAGTTCATCTTCAGTTTCCAAAAATTCTTTAGCTATCTTCACATCAACAGTTGCAGATTCACAGCTCATTTTCACATTATGCAACGAAAATGATTTCTAAATTATTTAATCCACCCAGAGCTAGCAGTAAATTCAACTTAGTTGGGTCTGGCCTTTTCTTTCAACTTTTGCTTTAACCATGATCACTGTGCTGACAGGATATGCTTCTGTATTGGGTCTTCTAGAAGATTATTAAATCTTTCTTCAAGTTGATGTACAACCTCCTTGAAATATACATGTCTTGTTGACTTCAATGAAACAGATCCTTCAGCAGCTTCTGTCTCTTTGCTCTTGAAGCTGTGGTGAGCAGTAACAATGACTTTTTACCTTCCTAGTCTTTTTTTATTTGTTTTATGTGGCCTCTTACTAATAGTATTAGCAGGAGATTGGGTGCACTTAGGGTCCATGATGAACAAATGGACAGAAGTTGAGCATAAAAGAATATGATGCAACCAAGAGATTCAGTAAACACAAGATGTGAGGCTGCTTCTGGCATCACATGGCATATTGTTTCACGGCACAGATTTTTTTGTGTAAATAGAATATACTCTAAAATAATGGTAATATGGTAAACACAGTATAATAAACCAAAAACAGTCTTGTATTATCAAGTACCATGTACTAGATATGTATGTGCTACGCTTTATGACTGACAGATCAGTGTATTTCTTTACAACATCACCACAAACATGAGAGTGAAGCATTCTGCTAGGTTAGTACTGTTCTAATCAGCTCTTCTCCAGGGACACTCTCAAACAAAAAAGGTAGGTGTGGACGTTCACATCTGTAATCCCAGCTAAACAGGCAGACTGCAATTCAAAGCCAGTCCAAGCAAACAATTAGCAACACTTCTATCTCAATCAACAGATTGAGTGTGGCAGAGCACGTCTATGATCCCAGCTATGAGGGAGAGCAGAGGTAGAAGGATCGTGATCTGAGGGCAGACCCAGGCAAAATTGGGAGATCCTACCTGAAAAATAACTAAAGCAAAAAAGGGGCTGGGGGTGTGGCTCAAATGGCAAAGCTTTTGCCTAGCAAACACAAGGCCCTGAGTTCAAATCCCAGTATTGCCAAAACGTTTTTAAAATGTATGAAAGTTTGATTAAAAGATTTTAATAAATTTAAGCAAGTAGCAAACGATATTTTAAGTTACTATGGTAACACTAAGCTATAAACCTCATTCTGCACATGAAGTACCTTCACCTCCCCATATGCAAACACAGACACACGATACACGAACACAAAACATCTTTCTTCTCTACCTCAAATCAGATACAAATGAAAAGAATTTCACTTATCCTTCAAATACTTCAAGAGTGGAATGAATATTACCAAGTTTGCAAAACTGAAAAATCTGAATGATGCTGGGTTTTTTTTGAGGCAGAATCTCACTCTATAGCCCAGGCTGCAATTTCAGCCTCCTTTATTGCTGGGATTACAGGCGTGTGTCACCACACCAGAACAATGCTACTTAAAGATAATCAAAATAATATCATAAGAGACAGCAACTCATTTAGTTAATATTCCCTTTTTCTATTATGCAAATCTGATCACTTTAAGATATGTTAAAATTCTTTGTGATTATTAGAGTAAATTTAAGAACACTTCCATTTATTATAAAGTTCAAATATTTTCCATTTATCTTTATAATAAGACAGATAAAAATTTCCAATCTTCATTATTTACTTATTATACAAAGAAAGACATGTTATATGAACAGAAATTAGTGACTTTAAGATACTGATTTTTGCAGCCTGGTGCTGGTGGCTCACACTTGCAATCCAAGCTACTCAGGAAGCAGAGATGAGGAAGATTGGGGTTTGAAGCCAGCCAAGGCAAATAGTTTGTGAGACCCTATCTCAAAAATACCCAACACAAAACAGGGCTGGAGGAGTGACTCAAGCAGTAGAACAAGTAAGCATGAAGCCCTGAGTTCAAACCCCCCTGCCGCGCGCACACACACACACACACACACACACACACACAAAAAGATGATTTTTATACACAGGCCTATATGCACAAGTACCCAAACGCGCCACCTCCCCTCCATCATTTCAAAGGCAAAAGTGAAATTAAATACCAGTATATGAGAATGAAAAAGAAACCCTAGGATATAAATAAACACAAACAACAAAGGTAAGCTAAGACATTTACATTTGATAAATCTTTCACTCAAAAAGGAGCTAACTTACCTGCAAGAGTTGTTTACACCTATTATACTTTTCTGTTTTGTCGGCAATTTCTTTGGTCATTTCACAGACTTGACCCTTTGTAAGCATGTCAAAATCTGTCTCTGCTATAATGAGGCAAAAAAAAAGACTGTTAAAAAGTATTATACCTATATATTATGCTCCTACCCAGAAAAACTTAAGAGTCAGTAGATTGTGATATACAAAAAACAGAAGACTGAGGAAACATATTCATATCCTAAATAAACAAAAAAGATACATAAACTATGTAAAATTTTTAGATGCCAGTTTTGGCCAGAACCAAGTTCACATTCAATAATGAAAATGTCTTTTTTTTTTTTAATAATTTGCTGAAAATAGTTCTAAGATGACACAAAATCTGTTCTCCTTATATAACTGAATGGCCAGGATAACAAAGCCATCCTCATGAGAATACATTTTATATCATTTTCCCAGTCCTTCATTGCCATTCACTAAGTCTTTATTAAGTAAGTACTCTACTCTATACTGTGCCACGCTGAAGATTACAGATCCTAAAATCTGAAATTAAAAATGCACTATAAACAAACTGCTCCAAAATCTGAAACTTTTTGAGCACTGGCATGATCCTAAAAAAGCTTCAGATTGTAGAGTATTTCAGATTAGGGCCAATCAACAGTAAAGTCTATGCAAATATTCCAACATCTGAAAAACTAGGAAATTGAAACCATTTCTGATCCTGACCATTTCAGAAAACGGATATTCAAACTATGTAGAGGGCAAAGAAATGGAAGGCTGGATTCTGTCCTTCAGAGGCTGAACGAAATTATTATCTACGGCATATTTATGTTTTTTAAAACTATCCACACACTAAATGAGAAAATGTATTCTCTCTAGCACTGGATTTCTTTGTTATTCAATCTTTGATTTATATAAAAGTGAAAAAAAATTAGAGTTAGTGAAAACCTAGAGTTAATTCAAATTTTCATTTAATCATGTGGTAAGAATTATATGTCTATGATTGTTTCTATAAGGAATGGACAAGTAAAAGTTTTAACTCAGCAGCCAACAGGTATATTAATGAGAGAAGTATCCTAGTGATCCAAAGCAGCCAGCAAAAAAGGAAATGGGTGAGGGATGAGAACAGGTACTTTTTCCACTATAGAATTATAAAATTAAAAGACTACAAATCAAATGCCTCAAAATTGCAGACATTTAGAGGAACATAAAATACACACTCAATTTTAAGCAATAGCAATTCTTCAGTTTCATTATATGGGCCACTGTGTCCCATGGCTCAAGAGAGTCCTCGCAGCACCTTTTTTATTTGTAACACTTGTGAATATTCTCATGAAGGTAAGTTTACACTCACACTATGTATATTCACCACATGCACAACATGTTACATTTATACCTTTATTCTCCCCTTTGCCTCAATTCCCTCACTCGTAAGGATTTTATAAGGACCCTGAAATTCTCCCGTATGGAGAAAGGCAGTGTAAAATAGTATCAATACTTTATAATGCAGGACACCCTACAGAAAAAGTAAATTTTTACCTGCAGACTGTAGTGATTGCTTTACATCTATAGCAGAGGCAGAAGTGCCTGGGTCTGTGTTTATTGAAGCATCACTGACTTTCTGCTGATTCCCAATCTTCTTTGTGAACATGCTACTGTTATTGGCCTGTTCAAAATGTCAGCAAAAAATGGTTTTTAAATGATTCACTAAATGAGTCATATTTCTTTCCTTTAGTAAATATGTAAATAATAATAAAAAGAAATCCTGAAAGTTCACAAAGTTACTCTTGTTTTAAAAGCCAACAAAAACTAAGTTACAACATCATTTTCTTAATTGATCTAAATGCTGCAAAAGAAAACTACTTTGCTTTTTCTTATGAAATCACCGAAGTTTGCCATTCATAGACATCTCACAGTCTCTCAAGTTTTCAACTACAAAGTCAAAAAGCCACAGACCAAAATCTGGACATGTGAACAGCAATTAAACAACAACGTTTTTTCATAAAAGCCTTCCTACTTTACTATATACATTTCTAGGTCAATAACCTAAACTCAAAAGGTAAATTATACCCAAAAGGTTGATATTCAAAATATTATAAATTTTATTTACAAACAAAAAAATATGTAAGAATGCAATGATACTTACTGACTGGTCAGAAAGTTTGTTTATTTGTTTTTGGAGTCTCTGGCATTCCTTAAATTTTTCTTTATAATGATCTGCAGCCATTTGAAGACGGAGTTTCAGGTCTTCAACTTCTCTTCTTAATTCATGTTCCAGTGTATCAGTCTTTTCCTAAAAAAGAAAGAAACACTAACAGAGAAAAACCCAATACCTCATAATGTAATAGTAAATTCCAACTTCATTTTCACATTTTTCTTTCTGGCTTTTTATTTTTATTTGTTTTGTGGTTTTGGCTACAGAACCACAATAACTTTCCTAATAAATTCAGCTTTATATTCTTAGACTAAGATTCATTTTTAAACTAAAGAAAACTAATCCACCTCCTGAGGAGCAATGATTGCTCTCATAAATAGCCGTAACACCATTTTATATAGGTAGTAAATAAGAAATTCCAAACAAAGCAATATGTACCTTAATATTTAATACAGCAGCTTGTACTAGCATTAAGAATTATGCTTATAGAAGTTTTTCTTGATACTTACATTAACTTCACCCAAGAAGTTACATTTGCTAAGTAAAATGAATAGAAATTTAAAACAATCTAATCAGGAATCTGACCTGACTTATTTAAACATACAGATTTCTTTTTCATGGGCTTAGAGTGGTTTTTGGATCAACACAGAAATTTAAAATGAACTTGCTTTACCTGTTCTTTTTTCACAGCATTTAGTTTAAGTTCTGCCAGTGCATCAGCTAATTGCTTTTTCACTTTCTCATTTTCCAAGCGTGCAGTATGTAGATCTGCCATTGTTTTATCTCGAACATTTACAGCATCACTAAGTTCTTTAGCCAGAAACGCAACTTCTTGTCGAGTTGCCTGAACCTGTTCCTCTGCTTTCCGAAGTTGCTCCTTTAAAAAAAAAGTATCTTCCTAAAGAAAGATTATTACAGTGTAATTAAACCATTCAAATAAAAAAGCAACAGAAACAATTTTACATTATTTCAACAGGTCCAAAGTTTTAAATAATGCTATTCTATTCAGGACTAGATGAAGTACATGTCAATAAAAACTTAAAATGAGACTTGACTTTAGATTCCCCATGTAACTACTGGGTACACTGCTGCTACTTTATAAATGAAGACACTGAAGGAGAGGTAGTCAGCTGACAACACCCAGTGATTAAAGACCTAGCTGAAATATGACTCAAATGAAGAGCTGGCGGAGTGGCTCAAGTGGCTGAGTGGCTACCTAACAAGAGTAAGGCCCTGAATTCAAACCCCAGTACTGCCCCTCTAACTCCCAAAACAAACAAACAAAAAAGACTCAAATGAATGCCATTCACCCCTAATCTCTCCATCTGAAACTACCGAGTGTCCTATTTTAGGATTACATTAAAAATTATTCAAAAACTTCTTTGTAACACCAAGAATTACAGTTAAAAGATGTTTCTAAGGGGTCAGGCATGATGGTGCATACCTTTAATACCAGATACTCTGGAGGTGGGGTAGGAGGGTTGCAGTCTAAGGCCAACTCCAGATAAAAGTGTGAGACCCTATCTGAAAAACAAACTAAAAGCAAAAGGACTCAGGTATGACTCAAGTGGTGGAGTGCTTGCCTAGCAAGTGTGAGGTCCTGAGTTTAATCCTCAGTACCTCAAAAGAAAAAAAAAAAGTTGTTTCCAACCTTCCAACCTATGTCATATCATTATGAAAACACAAAACCGATTTAGAATTTATTTTAAAAGTTTTAAACCCAAAATATTGTTATGCAAATAGTAAAATGAGGTAGTAAGAAAATGGAAGCCCTTGCCACTAGTGGGTAAAAAGCTATTGGAGAACAGGATGCTCATGTGATCTTAAAGTGTTATCCCACAAATTACTTAATAATCAAAAACTTTCAGAGAAAGAAAAGGCACCTCTATAATAATAGGCAAAAATACCTTTAAAGAAATTATCAAACCTATCATCATCGAAATGAAACAAACCAGCTGGGAGAGGTGGTACATGCCTGTAATCCTAGCACTCGGGAGGCTGAGGCAGTAGTACTGCAAGTTTGAGACCAGCCTGGGCTATATAACATGAGACTATGTCTCAAAAAAAAAAAAAAAAAAAAAAAAAAAAGGCAAAATGTTTTACAGTATATAGCTTTACTGTTCTGTTCTTCCAACTTTTTGTAGCTTAAACTTTTTCAAAACAACTGGCAAGGAAGAATTTAAAATAAAACAATCAAATAAATAAGGGCAATCATATTACATACACTTTAGAGATATATTTTATAATCTTCAAATACATATTGCAGAAGGACTTACTTTATTTGAGGTAAGCAGGAAAGCCCTTTGCAGATTTTCCTTTTCGGTCAAACACGATTGTAGTCTGCCAACTTCTTCCTTGAAATGAGTAATCATGCTTTCTTTGTTTCCATCTAAATTCTTTAAAGTCTGGACTTCTGATATCAGCTTGGTATTTTCTATTTCTGTATTCTTCAAATGCACCTGTAACAGTGTTTGAAAATGTCAAGAATATATGCATTCCACTGCCATACCTATGTTTGTCAAAGTTGAAAATGCCATTATTTGTTTCTAATTCAAAAATGATAAAGTTGCTGGGCAGGTGGCTCATGCCTGTAATGCCAGCACTCAGGAAGCTGAGGCAAAAGGTTCTCAAATTCAAGGCCAGCTTGAGCTACATAGGAAGTTCCAAGCCAGTCCAGCCTGGGCTATATAGAAAGACCCTGCCTACAAAAAAAAAAAAAAAAAAAAAGTAAAATTAAAATAAAGGAAGGGACAAGGTGTCAGGAGGCCCAACTTCTCCAAGTGACTACATAAGCATACAGGTACCAAACTCAGCTTTTCTAAGATTTTTTTATTTACCAGAGAGATTAAATCCAAAGTCTAACCTGATCTCTAAAAACTTTTAATTTAATGACTGTAGATTCTCTTTCAAAATGTATATGGATGTGGTTGGTTGCTAGAGAAACATTATCTTATAGGTATATTTACATATAACAGCATGACCAAATTCCAGGAAACTAGAAGGTGTACATTCAAAAACAAATCTCAAGCAATTCAATTTTTTGCTTGTTTAACTTTCCATGTGTCTACAGACATATTTATTAATTAATTAACCCAACTGCATATATATACATACATATATATAGGTAGATTTTTCCCATAAACTTTGGGGGCTGATGATTTGCTCCTAACAGATACACAAATCAAATTCAATAATTAGAATTTTAAAGAACATAGACAACTAATGTCCACCAAACGGGTATCTTGCCTTAAGGGTACTAGAGAGGAATGAATTGTTTCTTGCATGTTACTCTTTAAAATGTCAAGAAAGTTGAAAACTAATTCATGTTCCTAAGGATAGAAGGTAATGATTCTTTGAAGGCGTCAGTAGCCAACACCTTTGCAGCATCACTTTTAAAACTACCTACTTTTCATAATCGTCAGTTCATGACAGTGACTTTTTTTTTTTTTCTTTCTGCTTTTTTTTTTGGCAGTACTGGGGTTTGAACTCAGGGCCTCATACTTGCTACAAAGGTGCTCTTACTGCTTGAGCCACTCCGCCAGACCTCATCAAAGTGACCTGACATGAAGCTGACAACTCATAATGTCCTTGAAATTCTTCATCTGGAACTTCCTACATGAAATGCATACTAGCTACTTAACAAAATCTGTTTCAATTTTCACCCATAACATTATTGACAATTAAGTTAACTTACTCTCTATTGCCAGAATGCTTAAAAAAGAAAATCTTCAGAGGCTAGAGGTATGACTCAGGTGACAAAATGCTTGCCCAACAAGCACAAGGCCCTGAGTTCAACTCCAGTACCACACACACACAAAAAAACCCAGGATGGAGGGAAAGAATGAGGGAGGGAGGAAGGGAGGGAGGAAGGGAGGGAGGGAGGGAGGAAGGAAAACTTCAGAAGGTGAAGATTAATTAGCAGCGGCAATATTTTTGTAAAATGACAATCTCTAAAGATTATTCCAAAATCCAACAGGGTGCTGGTGGCTCAAACCTGTGATCCTAGCTACTCAGGAGGCAGAGGTCAGGAGGGTTGCAGTTCAAAGCCAGCCTTGGGCAAAACAGTTCAGGAAACCCTATCTCAAAAATGCCCAACACACAAAAAAGGGCTACCAGAGTGGCTCAATTGGTAAAGCACCTGCCTAGCAAGCATGAGGCCCTGAGTTCAAATCCCAGTGCTGCCAAAAGAAAAAAAATTATTCCAAAAGCCAAACTCTAAAATACGATCACTGAAGACACTAAGTATTCAAAATTTGGTTATGTAAATTTTGATTAACAAGTATCTTATTATCATTAAACCTCTCACTTGTTGTACAGTACCTGCTATATATCTAAAATACCAGCAAATTACTTCCCTAAAAATTAATTTTAGGAGCAATTCCCTTCCCCTCTTAGACTGCTCACTCAGAAGGAAATTGGCTGCCATATTGTGAGGACATTCAAAGAGACTTGCAGACAGCTAAAGGGACTCCTGCCAAAAGCTACGTTAGCGAGCCATCATGAAACCAGTTTCCCAGTCTCAAGCAAGCCTTTAGCTGACTGGTACCCTTGCAACATCCTGACTGCAATTATATGAGACCAAGAGCTCAGTTAAGTTATTCTCAAATCTTGACCCACAGCATCTTGGAGTAATTTGTTACAAAACTGCAATAATAGAAATGGAAGGAATTACCTTGTAAAGTTCCTTCTCATCCTTTTCTGTCTTCAACTGACATTCAAGTTGTTCTCTTTCATGTTGTGCCTTTCTGAGTTTATCCTTTAAACTGTAAGATGAAGTAACATTAATACAAACCAAAAAATTTTATTAATCATTGAAATTATTTATCAAAAGCATCAGAAATACCTGTCTAATTCTGTTTCTTTTTCAATTGCTTTATGTGTCACTGAAACAATATCTTCCTCAAGCTGGAGAGCTTTACATGTAGCATCACTGTATCTCTTCTTAAAGTCTTCATTTTCCATTTTTAAACTTTGTGATATTTCAATAAGACCCTTGGAAACAACAAGGTATTTTCAGTAACATAATCAGTAAAGCAAATTCTCACATCTTTAAGAAACCTCTATATTCTTTTTGTTTTTAACTTTTTTAAGATACAGGGTCTTCAGGATGCCCCAAACTCCTGGGCCCAAATAATACTGCTGCCTCAGCTTCCCTATTGCTGGAACTACAGACTTACACTACCATGCCTGGTTTTTGTATTCTTAAATTTTTAATGCCACATTTATTCCCTACAAAATGTTAAGCCAAGACTATAAAAATCTAAAGCCCTAACACACAATTAAATTTCCATATACTGAACTATAAATAAATCAGTAATACATATATCCCTCCCAGACTTTTCATAGACCCTGTGTGTTGATTTCACTAACTTCTCCACCAGAGGGCAGGCACAGAAGTGAGACAAAAATTTAAAACAAGTCATTTTTGGTTTTCAGTTTATTTTCCATTTTCATCGTTAACCCAATGACAATTCAGGTCACAAATGACACTGTCAATGTTCACCCACTTCTGGGATAAGTGCTAGAAAAGCACTACAATAAATACCTAAAGCATTCTTCCTAATGTTTTTGCCAGTGTGACTGAAAAAGTCTAAATATCCAAATATACTGCAACAAATATCAAAGAAATAAATGGCTTTTATTTAAAATAGAATGTTCTACTTTCAAAAGATAATTTAAAATTAGGGTAAAATATTTACCACATCAATTAAGACAAGTAACTTGTAAGACTTTGAGCAAACACCTCCCGAAGCTTCTATAATAAGGTCTGGCTACTTTATAAAATCTTGAGACTCAAGTGTAACTATGTATACACAGATGCTGTTATAGAAAATTATACATCAAAAGAATTGATGAACTAAGTCAAATTATTTTCGTTAAAAATAATTTTTAAAAAGCTGGACATGGTGATACACCAACCTCACCATTCAGAAGGCTAAGGCAAAGGATCATGAATTCAAGGGTACCTAATCTACAAAGCAAAATCCTGCCTCAAAAGAAAAATTTTAAAAATCCCCCACCTAACAACAATAAAAATATCACAATCCTATCAATTTAAAAATCAAACAGACAGTATTTTTAAGTCATTTAAAAGTAACGTAGCCAATTATTTTTACTCACAGGTGCAGTGTCACTTTAAATATCTTGCTAGAATATGAAAACTGCTACACTGCATCTATACTTGATTGAAAAGTGTATCACAATAATGGTAGAATGACACCCTACCAGTTTTATTTTAGTTCAAAGCAAATATTTGCCTTTCTAAATTTGCAACAATAACAGAACGCTTTTCTGGCTCCAGTGCCTTAATACCAGAGAAAGCCAGTAATACTTACAATATCTCTGCTATAATTTTTGTCAATAAACAGTTCTTACAAAATCAGACATTTTCAATGTCTTGTTAGTTTATAAAGACAAAGAATTTTCTAAGTAGATTTTCATAATTTTTATTTTCAGTTTTACCAAATAGTCTCTTGGTACTGTAAATAGGCTGTAGATGTGATCCAGGTATTTCTTCCCAGGACAAAGACTAGTTTGCCCAGAAGCAAAAACTAATTTTTGATTCTATACATAATGGAGTTCTATACTGCATAAACAGCATTCTAAGAAATGTATAGAGAAAGAATCAGAAAAAAAATCATAGGCAACTGAATGGAGAATAAATTAATGGCTTCATTTCTGAGTCAGCTAACTTTGTATTGAATCACAAACAAATTCTGACTATAATTATCTTGAGAGTCAAATTTTTCTCTGATACCTGTAAAGACACCTGATAGCTTCTCAGCATCTCAGCATATTTTCAAAAGGCATGGAAAAAAATACAGATTATTTCTTCAGGCCTCTAGTTTTCATGTCTTAGCTAAACATAAGCACCGTCACTGTGGCTAAGTCTTCCTTAGCATGAAAATTTCAAAGGACAGAAACTCACGCTTTTTTCTTTAAAAAAAAAAAATTTAAGAGAACAAAATCTATAATATAATTATTGAGGAACTGAATTTTGTGATGCTAACTTGGTAACCATTTATAAATCATACCAAAAGGATATAATTATTCTAATATTAAAAAAGAAAAATTTCAACAAATAATTAAGTCAACTACATTTATACCAAAATAAGAATAATCACAAAAACTGGGGTAAAGGAAGATTCAGAGATTTAGGCATTTCAGATTCAAGCAGGGGATTTCTCTCCTATTTTCCTAAACTTAAAAAAATCACTATTCCCATAAGCCACTATTACAAATTCCCACAAGTCTAAATTGCTAATCCTCAGACATGAATAACTAGATAAAACAATTGTGAACAACTCATCTGGCTAGATACAACACACTAAACATAGTTAAAATAAAAGTACATTTATTCCTATGTTTAAGAAAAGAAAGTATTAATTTTGATTATAAACAAATACGTTAAGTAGAAACCAAATACAGTATAGCAATAATCTAGAAACAATTATAGCATTCTAATTAGTACCAGGATACTTAAAGTAAAAAAATTGTTGTCAAAAGAATTGTCATTTACGGAAAATGCTAGCCAGATTGTAAATTCAATCATACTCATTTAACTTAACTGAACTATTCTCAAACACTTTGCTTCTTTTTCTATTATTATAATTAATGTATTTTAACCAAAAATGGGCTTTGTGATACTTTCATAGACATATATCGATATCGAGCTTTGACTATATCCCTCTACCCTTTATTCCCTTCCCTCTTTCCCACTTTCCCACAATACCCTGCTTCTTGAAATCAACTAAAATAAAAAGCTATGTAGATAGCTACATACAATACAAATGCATCTTCTCTGATTCCAGAAATTTACCAGGCAAAAATATAACTGACAATATATAATAAACTGATCTTTTAAAAATCACTCCAATGGAGTGATTCTTGCAATGGAGCATATGCTCCATTTTTAGAATACCAGCAGAGAGAAGCAGTCTCTGCCAAGACTAGTGACTATCATTAAGACTTAAGCTGGCCATAGTGGTATACACCTGTAATCACAGCAACTTGGGAAGCAGAGGGAGGAGGATCAGAATTCTTCCTGCCCAGCCTCGGAAAAATTTAACAAGACCCTATCTCACAAACAAACCAAGAGACTGGTAGAATGGCTCAAGTGGTAGAGCATTTGCCTAGCAAGCTGAGGCCCTGGGTTCAATCCCCAGTACAACAACAACAACAAAAATCAAGCCAGGCATGGTGGTAGATGCCTGTAATCATAGCTACTTGGGAGGCAGAGATAGGAAGCTCTTGATCTGAGGCCAGCCTAAGAAAAACAACCTAAAAGCAAAAGAAACTGGAGGAGTGGCTCAAGTAGTAAGAGTGCTTGCCTAGCAAACACAAGGCTGTGAGTTCAATTTCTAGTACTGTCAAAAAAAACAAAACAAAACAAAACAGTTCTTTTAAAGAGTTGCCATAGAAACTACTAAAAACCTCTCCTGCTATCAAGACCACAAACTCCCTCAAGTTTTGCTTCATTAATCCTCAGGCCTCAGTCTACCATTTTCTCAACCTCATTCTGTTAAAATTCAGCCTTGTCTGAGTATTACCTGGACAGAGAGAACCTGAAACTGTTTAGAGCTCAGTTAATACACAACTATTATGTCCTGATAATCTGAGTACTTTCACACAAATGAAAGCCTATCATTCTGCCATTCCTATTCCCCAATCATCCTTTCTTCCCTTGAATTTCAAGTGACCTCAAAGGCCACATACTACATACCAGAGTATTCTTGATTTCATGGGGTTAAGACATGTTGAAATGGGTCTTTCCCATGGGTCACTTTCTATCTTACCCCTACCCCTGTGATTTGTAATAGACTGAAAGAAAAAAGACTGGCATTCTACTTTGGAAAACTGCCAAATCTAGATACAATTAATGGGAGAAATATGTACAGAATGGAGAAGAGTAATAACTACACAAAAATAGCAAGGGAGCTAGACATGCTGGCCTATAAATTCAGCACTCAAGAAGCAGAAGCAACAGGATCAAAAGTTCAAAGCCACCATGGACTACATACTGCATTTCAGGCTAATCTGGGACACGCAGTGAGACCCTTTATCAAGAAACAACAACAACAATAAATAGCAAGAGAGTTACAAGGAAAAGGTAAAAATTTTAGCTAAATGTCCTAAAAGTAAATACATTTTGGTAAATCTGTTTTAAAAGTTCAAATGAAAGAAGTGGTTCCTTTAGCAAATAAAAAACCCTACTTCCTATAGCCTACTACAAGACGCTAAATGTTCCCCCAAGAATAAGTGGGACACGGGGAGACATATTTAACTAAAAAGGCTAACAGAGGACTGGAGGTATGGCTCAAGTGATAGAGCACGTTCTTGTCAAGCATGAAGCCCTGAGTTTAAATCCCACTAAAAGAAAAATTAGAAAGTCTAAGAGTATTAAGGGCAGAGTGAAAACTTTCAGACATTTATAAAGAAATTTGTAAACATACACATCACCTGATGTTGTGCTTACCCTCTAATTCTTACCCTCTATTTGAGCAATCCTCAAATAGAACAGAGCAAGAGAAATCTTTTCAGAATGTACCTATTTGAACATCACCTCTACTCTGGTATATAATATATAACCACTCTACTGGAGTATAAAAATGTAAATCAAAAGTCAGGCGTCAGTGGCTCATGCCTGTAATCCTAGCTACTCAGGAGGCAGAGATCAGGAGGATCACAGTTTGAAGCCAGGCCGGGCTTCAAGAAGATAGAGTCGAGAGACCCTATCTCAAAATACCCATCACAAAAAGGGCTGGTGGAGTGGCTCAAGGTGAAGACTTGAGTTCAAGCCCTAATACCACCAAAGAAAAAAAAAATATGAAAATCACTACACTAAAAGTTCAATTAACAATTATTAGCCAATTGCTCTAGGGTCAAGACCTTGTTAGACAAAAGAACAATAGAAAAGACCTTCACTTCAGAGAACAATAGTTCAATCCTGTCACTAGACATATGGATATCCAACTAGCTATAATATATATGATATTGTGAAGATATAATAGATATAATCACAACCTGTATAAGGTTTGTCAGAGTAAACCATTCTTCTGGTGAAAATACTAAATAAACAAATTAATGGCTAAGTACTTTTTTTTTTTTTGTTTCCAGTTTCAAACTCAAATTCATTTGTATTTCAACTGAAGCCACACAATTTTCTATTTATACTTCTTTTTCTTTGCTAAAGAAATGATGCCAATTTTAAGTAGGTTTCTTTAAAAAGATAATGTATAATATTTCTCACATGAAGAACTACAAATTTTCAAAGCTTGGACTGTTTTCCTACAGCTCCACCCACACAAGACTCTCTGCTTTTCTCCTCTGTTTTCCTTTCCTAATAAAACTGCTGTCGCATCTCAAAAAAAAAAAAAATTCAAATTCTGCCTAATACTATGTTTTAGACACTAAATTCTGTTTTGAAAAGCAATTTTAATTTACTCTATCTTCTTTTCATTCAGTTTATTGTTTCCAATTGTATTTTCAGTGGAACCCCATCCCCTAAAAGAATCCAACAAATATCCTAGAATTAGATGTAAAATATCTCGAAATAGTTGTCAGGGACTCCTTCATTAAACCTGGTACCAAGAGTCTAAAAGTATTTTAACCATCTTCAAACACAAAAGAAGCTGTGGCAAAAGGTTAATAGAAACTGACTTATTCTTCCATAAATATCTTTAAATGCTATTTTTTGTAATACCTGTTTTTCTCTTCCTTTAATTGGTTCAGTTCTTGGAAAAGGTGTGTTTTTTGGGTAACATACTATCAATTCTGATCAGTTACATAGGACACAACTAACCTTTTGCTCTGCTTGCAGGTGCTCACATCTTTCTTTCTCGTGGTTAAGTTCTATTTCCATTCTTCCAACTTGTTCCCGAAGTTGTGCCGTTTCTTTTTCCAGAACAGCAATTAACTTTAATAATTCTTCTTTTTCTTTCAGGGTTTTCTCAATTTTCAACTGTAAAGCAACAACAGAAAAGTAACCTCGAAAAAAATTGCTTTTTTTTTTTTTCTTAATCATGATACTACAAATTTAGTTTTCCATTTCAAAAAAAAAAAAAGAGAAGATATTCACTAGAAAAAAATTTATATTATACTTACTTATATCAATCAGTTTCAGTTAAAAAAAATTCATGAATCATAAATCTGAACATTTATTTGGTTGGCCAAGGAGGAAATATTAAAAGAAGGCATAAAATAAATGAAATACATTATAAAGATGCCTGCTAATCACTTTTCAAATCAATACTGAAACTAAGGCATATAAATTTCCTAAATGACTTAATTACTGGGATTTCTTATCCACAGTAATAATTAAACACATAAAAAGAAAAATGTGTATCTTTTTTTTTGTGGGACTGGGGTTTGAACTCAGGGCTTTGTGCTTGCAAAGCAGGTATTCTACCACTTGAGCCTCACCTCTAGTCCTGTACCTCTTCATGAATGCAAACCTATAGGAAATCTTGGAATACTGAAGAATTTACAATCAATGTTATGTAAGAAATCTATGGCATTACCATTAAAAGTTTTGGTTCTTAAAATATTATGTCAAAGGGTAAACTTCATATATAATATATATTTTGCATAATTTATAGATTCAATATACAAATAAAATGGCTACCATTTGGCTAAACAAAACAATCATTGTAGGTAAAAATGTAGATTTTAGAATATAGATTACAACTATAATGTATTAACAATATAATTGGCTCTTATGGAAGCACTAATAATCACTCAGTTCAGGAAAATCTGCACTTCTGAAGTTCAAAAAAATTACTAAATTAAAAGAGCTAAGATGGTAGAAAACAAAATGGTTAGTATTTCTCTTGCAATAAGAAGTCTTTGCTTATAACCAGGGGAAGAAGGGAAACTCAGAGAGAAGACTTTGCAAAGAAACCATTATAAACTTATCTGGTAAAATAAAATGTTTTTCCCCAGTACACCACAAATTTAGTTGTGGCTCAGTGGTAGAATGCTTGCCTAGCATGCACAAGACCTTTGGTTTGATTCCCAGCACCACACCAAAAAAAAAAAAAAAAAAAAAAAAACTTTTCCAGGGTCATAGAATCATAGATCAAAGTGATTAAAATGGCTTATATGAAAGCTGAATAGCTGAAAACTTTTAGAATGATCCTTAAATATCTGTACCAACATACCAATCAAACTGCCAGGAGAAATACTCTCAAAAGGGAAAAGTTTATTTATTTAATCATTAAACTTCTTTAATGCCTTACCTATTTAAAAAATGATTTGTGGTAGATTACAATAAATGACATTCCATAAAGTCAAAAGAAAATTAGGACCATCCAAGTATATTAACCCTTAAGGTTAATAGCATTGTTAATTTTGCATTAAATCTGGCTCAAAAACTTTCTGGCAGATTTAAAATGAAGATTAAGTCTTGGCCTAGTACAACAAACATTATCAAGAAACACTTTTTTCTAGTGTTTTATTTAATTCACAATGCTTTCTACAAGGAATAAGCAGGAAATTTTTAAAAGAATTTAAGTTATGTAACGATGAACACAAATCCAGGCCTGGAGATATAACTGAGTGAAAACGCCTTGCCTAGCATGCGCAAGGCCATGGATTCAATTCCCAGCACTACAGAAATATATATATATAAGTAATCTAATTTCTGCCCACACATTTGTATTCTGAAATAAGTCATACAAAAAAGTTAAAATTTTACAATGAACACACATATACTAATTATTATTTTGCCATGTTTATTTCGTCTCTCATGTATTGCTTATTTATGCAATTTTTTTGTTTTGTTTGTTTTGTTTTACTAAACCATGTGAAACACAACTACAGAAATTTTATCCCTAAGTACTTCAAGATAAGGGCAGTCTCCTTTTCGACCACTGCTACTACCATAGCTAAGAAAACACTAATAATGGTTTTTATATCACCCAAGAGATACATACACCATAGTCAACCATCTCTTACTATTCCTAAAATGTCTTTTTTAATCTATTGCCCATTCATGTTCACAAACTGCAGGATTATGTTTCATTAAACACTTTTAGTATCAGCAGGAACCCAGATAGTATCTCACAGTTGTATTAATTTTGTAGAGTATTAGACAAAATTACTGATGATTTTAATGAATGTGAAAATTTTAAAAACTTTTACCTCAGAATATTTATCTGAAAAAAGACAACAATTTAAATTTTCTTTATATCCTTTGTGTGGAAGGAGGAAGTTAAATAGATTTGTGCTATGTCCCAATTTACTTGGTAAAAAAGCACTACAGAGATATGGGTGCCAAATTGGAGTGCTTGAAATCAGGGTGGTCTAACAAGTATTCAAAAAACTGCAATATAAATGCTAGTTGCATTCTTCTTAAGACCAGGGCTTGTTTCAGAATCTTTGACTAGCATTCAAATACCAGGCTAGAAACACTGATAGTCAGGCAATTGTCACTACAAAATGTTTTAGTCACCCTATAAAAGTTACATTTCTTTATTTAAGATAAGAGAGGAATTTCTGGAAAGAGGAAGGAAAGATATGGGAGAATTCACAGTAAAAAATGATTGGTTCCTTCTAACCTTCTAGTTCAACTGTCTTATAAAAGTAGTATAGTATAACCTCTTGTCATTTGTTCTCTGGTCTCAGTTCTTAAAGGTAAACAAAGTAAAATTAAAGGCATGAAGTATTTACATGTTTAAAAAGATCCATCTGACTATAAAGAAAAAGCAATGATCTACAACAGACAAAATGATGCAAATTGGCAAAAAATATATAGTAAACCAATCTAAAAGGCTATTTTTCTAATTATTGCAACAAAAGGACTAACTGTAATTAATCACAATAATTCAAAATATAGCATTCTAGTTTTTCAGGTATAGGATAAATATGTCAGAAAATGTGACCTTAAAAATGAGAAAAAAATGTTATTTTCTTTTCTTTTCATGGCTACTAAAAATTAAAATGTAAAGCATTATTAGATTAGCCAGTGACTTCATAATATCAATTACAAAAAAAAAAAACACCAAATAGTGAAAGATCTTTCACCTTTTCTTTTCAAATTATTATTACTCTAAGTTTACTCATTTAAATCAGATGAAAAAGGAAAAGAATCACTCTAAAGCTGTTTAACCTAAGTTAAGAGACGGGTATTCTTCCTGACTTGTTGCCATGCTGATAGAGAGCGAGCATGCTCACAGTGTAACGAAACACAGTTTACATCCAATTACTGCACATGCTACTCTTCCAACCAGCTTGATCCCTCAAATCTGTACTATTCGACAACCAGCACATTAGGAAAGATAACAAAAGCGTTAGGTCTAAATTCTCTAGACAGGTATTTACTGCACAAAATACCCTTAGGCCAAGGACAGTCCCTATCCCAATGGTAACCAAGAAAATAATTATGACCAAAATTAACTTTTAAAGTATTTTTAAGAGATACTCTAGGTTTCTTAATTTAGTTTAAAAACATTTGATTTTGACACTCTTTTATAATTCAAATATCAGCGAATATGAGCTTTATCTCACTGTTGGTACCAACCTCAAGAAGGCCAGCTTTTGTGGTCACCACCAACATGTCAGAATTTCCTTCATCTTCCATAGTAAGCAACTCTTCAACTGGAGAAGAAGCTCGAAATTGGAATGGTGTACTTGCTCCACGAATTTCACCCTTATGGGTAACGTAACAGAACTGATAAAACTCCCCATCATCATTTGGAAGATAATACCCTAAGACGTGGTTAACAAACAAAAATTATTAAACTAGTATAAAATGTTATTTCAATTTAATTACAATACTTTCCATCTCTCATTCCTCACACTGTTTAAGCACAAATCTGGAATATGTTTTCCTCCTGGGTTTCACAAACTTATCTGACAAAACTAGACTCTTTCCTTCCCCCTCAAACATACTCAAAAATTTCAACTCCTAGTTCTAAATATTTTTATCTAGAATATGCTTTCCCCTCCATCTTAACTCAGGCAAAACCAACTCATGTGGGAGGCACAAATACTTCAAAATGGGAAACAGGCTATAGGAGGAATAAGGGAAGACTCAATATAAAAATCTGAGGTAGACTGGGAGTGATGGGGGTAGAAATATGTTATTTAAAAAAAGATTTCTCTCCAATTTGACATTCATTACATGTAAAAAAGGAAACATTAACTACAGGAATATGCTGCACAAATTAACTATATAAGGGGAGAAAAGAGGATGAGGCCTACTAGTGTAATACAACAAAAATAAGCTTTGGAACCACACAGATCTATTCAAGAAATCCAACTCAACAACTCTTTATTAACCTCCCTGAGACATATGTTCTTATCTGTATAAATAAATAGGTCATTTATCTCAGAATTACTAAGTAAACAGATAATGTACACAAAACATTTGACAAATAGTATGTGTTCAATATTTGTTTCCTTCTTTCTTCAATTGTTACCCACCCTTTTAAATTTTGCTGGATTGTACTTACTCAAAGTTAATCATTATCTCCTCTCCAAATTTCACACAAAAATACCTCAATAGTATATTCTGCATTACTATTCATTATACACATGCCTTTGCAAGGGGTAGGGTGCTGGAGAGTGAATCCAAGGCCTCACATACAGTAGGTAAGTGCTCTACCACTGAACTACCTCCCTAGTCCTTTTCCTATTTTTCTTTTTTGAGACAGGGTCTCATGAAATGGTCCAAGCTGGCCTCAAACTCTTGATCCTCCCAACCTTGGCCTCTCTAGTAGCTGAGATTACGTGCTACAGGCATGTGCTACCACAGCCAGCTTTTGGTACATGTTTATATCCTACAACAGGCCTCAAAACTACTGAGGGCAGATATAGATACACATAACTGAGTGCAGATGCATGCACCTGCATGTGTGTGTGTGTATGCATGAGTAAATTCCAGAGTGTGTGTGTGTGTGTGTGTGTGTGTGTGTGTACATGCATGAGTAAATTCCAGGGGGTGTGTGTGTATGCATGAGTAAATTCCAGAATCACTCACAATGCCTTGTAAAAAGGAAGCCTCCAACTATGCATAAACAAAGATGAAAACATTCACCTAATTAATATCTACTCCCAAATCTACTCTCAATATGCCTATTCTTCCCTGTCCTAAAATTTTCAGCCTCTTTTATTATAATAACTACACTTCATTCTTTAAAAAACAGTTGGTTTTGTGCTTAGAAACAGAGGACAGACAGAGAATACACAAAACAAGTCAGAAACTTCTTGTGGTGCTTGAAAGCAAATAGTAAGTCCTCAAAAACAAATTTGAAAGGGGAAGGGGCATACCAAAAAGTACTGGAGCCCATCTGAAGGAGCTCCCAATGGCCAAAGCCAGAAAAATTCAAGCAACAAAAATTAAAGAGTATCAGGCTTTATTTCACAGAAGAAAATGAGATCATGGAGAAAAGGGCAACTCTTCCTAACATTGTAATTCCAACTAATGCACAAGTAATGTTGTTAGACAAGTACCATGATTGCTGTGGCTGAAAAGATGAAGAAAAACAATTTTTCTAGTTTCAAAGTAGCTTCCCCATAATATTCATTACAAAGAGAAAACTAACTTTATTTATGGTGGAAAAACCAGATGATACCACCTAACTAATGATCCAAGATTATTAGCGTAAGTAGTAAGATATGCGGACATCAAGTACAATGCACTAAGAAAGGTACATCCCTTCAACAACTCTCTTCAAAATTATACATTAATCTAACCATGAGAAAATAGCAAACAAATCCAAAATAAGAGACATGCTAAAAAAAAAAAAAATCAAAGATAACCACAAACCAAGGAAACTAAACAGATATGACAAAGAAATGTAACATACCGCATTGGAACTAGATACAAGAACAGAAAAAACAATGGTGGAAACATTGGTGAAACTTGAATTAAAATTTGTACTTTATTTAGTCAAGAGTATTGTGTCAATGTCAAATTACTATTTTTAAAAATAAATGTACTATGATCATGCAAGACGTTAACACTAGAAAAAGCCAGGCAAAATGGTATATACGGTATAAATGAGTTATTGAAAATTTTGTTTCTAAAAGTTATTTCAAAATATAAAAAAAATTTAAGTGTCACAGGTGTACATCTTGCAATTAAAAAAAAAAAGTCTATACCTAGCATCTATTGCTAAATTCATTAATGCAAAGCAAAGTAAAATTCCTCATACCCACTAAACTTATTTTTAAAACTTAAACAGGAAACAAAAATAGTCTGGTTAATTAGCTCTCATATCATGACATTAGAAATTCTATAAATTAGCTGATCATGGTGGTATACATCTATAGTCCCTACACTCAGGAAACTGAGGCAGGAAGATCACTTTCTAGGCCACTGTGCATTGCATAGTGAGACCCTCTCTCCAAAAAAAGAGATTTTATAGACATTCAAGATCTAATAATTTAGAAAACAAAAATCTCATTACAATAACCTGCTTAAAAAATAGTTCAAATACTATTTGAGAGAAATGTGATGATTCAGAGGTGCATGTTAAAATTATTTGTCTAAAAAATAAAAGAAAAAGTAAAAATCAAATGAGTCAAGTTGTATAACCTATGACATTAGCACTCAGTAAAATAAACAAAGGAGTCCACTGAGAAACCCCACTGTTTTTATGGGGTTTAACTCAGGTCCTTGTGCTTGGTAGGCAGGTACTCTACCACCTGAACCTCTGCAACAGTGCCTTTTGCTTCAAGCTGTTTTTCAGGTAGGATCTTGGCCAGGGCCACGAGGCCTCCCACACAGCACAAGCACGCACCATCATGTTCAGCTTATTAAGATGCTAACTCTTTATCCAGGCTGCCCTCAAACCTTGACCCTCCCAATCTCCACATTTATGTATTTTTGTTACCTATTTTGAGTTCTGCATTTCTGGAATCACGAGACACATTCAAAATGAGCAAGATTTAGACTGTATTTGATAGCTCTGCTAGCTCTAATAGTCTATGACCAAGTTTTCCCATGACTCTACCCTGACTTCTTTATCTGACAAACAAAAGATTTCTAGGCAGACAAAAGCTTTTTTGGGTGCGGGAAGGAGAGGTGGGAGGGAGCCTCTTGAATGCTGGGTATGTTTACCATTGAGCTACATGTGTAGCCCAAGGTAGAGGCTTTTATTTCTGGATTTCAAAATTCAAAATAAAAAATAGTAAATTTAAAAACTTTATAAATTTCTTACATTTATGCTTAACTCCCACGAAAATGTTTTTAAGGTATAAACAAACTGGATGCTTTTTTTTTTCCTTTTTGTTAGCTTTTAAACTTCTTTACCATTCTGCAAAAATTGTGGCATCTTTCTAATAGGGTATTTTTTTCTATTTTTTAAATTATGAAAAACACAGAACATAAAATTTATTTTAATCATTTTAAATTATATAACTCAGTGCTGAGTGCATTTATTCACACTGTTGTGTAACCACTTGCACTATCCATCTCCAGAACTCTCTTTGCCTTACAAAACTGAAATTCCCAGTCCATTAAATAATAACCCCATATTGCACTCTTCCCTTAGGCCTTGGCAATCACCGTCTTACTTTCTAACTCCACAAGCTTGTCTACTCTGGGGATTTCATATAAGTGGAATTATGCAGCATTTGTCTTTCTTGACTGGCTGATTTAACTTGGCATAATGTCCTCAAGATTCATCCATATTGTGAGCTTATGACAAAAATACCTACATAACAATACCTTTAAAAAATCTGTATATAATGCTAAGCTAAGAGTGAATTCTCCATTACTCATTTGTATCCATTTTACAGGAACCTTCAGATGGCAATATAACTACTCAAAATTCTGTTTATCATCTGTGATTTTCATCTGGATTACTTTCCTCACCTATAATTTGCTACATTCTTGGCTTTTTTTTAATGAGTCCATTTTTCTATTAAATTCATTTTTTAACTGATACATAAAAATTGTACATATTAATAAGGTGCCATATGATGTTTTGATGTATCCACTGTGAGATAAGATTAAGTACTTGTATCTCCTCAAAATTCATCACTTTTTTATGGCAAAAAACATTCAAAATTCTTTTTCCTAGCTTTTGGGACATAAAATACACAATTGTTATTTATAGTCATTCTACTGTGCAATAATAGCATAACAAAACTTTTCACTTCCATTTAACTGCAACTTAGTAGCCAATGATCAACCTTTCCCCATGCCTCCCTCCCCTAATATTAGTAATAGCATTATATTTTCTCATTTGACAAAATTTTTTAAAAAGTGAAGATCTGGAAAGAAACCCAGTATCTTTAATCAAAGTTAAACAAAAAAAAAACCTTTCTAAAACTATTAAAAATACCATGTGACCTACACTTGGTATTTACATTATGACTTCTGCTCAACAGTTCCCAGAATATGCCTAAACAGATCATTACAATTGGGTGCAACATTTTAACAGCAATAAGACATCTAGTTTTGTTAAGTTCTACAGTTTTCAGTCTTTACCTTGAAATGCCAGCACACAATTGACTGTTGATCCTTCTACATAATGTTCAGGCATAGGAGACCACAAAAATGTGTAATATCACGGGCAGTACTCCATCCAACCTAAAGAACAACAAAATGGGGTGAAAGGATTAAGCCAGGTGTGATGTTCTCAGTTTACATGAAGTTAGCCATCAATAACACATGTGACAGACAAAAGGTTTTTATGTAAATATTTTCAAATCAAGAAAAATACAAACTGCTGAGAATGGAAGATCATGCCTCTAAGTCCAGCTCTCGGGATGCTGAGGCAGGAGGATTGAGAATTTGAGGCCAGACTGGGCTACACAACAAGACCTGTCTCAAAAATGTTGGGGGGGCGGGGAGGGGAAGAATCTAAGCAAATAGTGTAATATTATTAGCCAGGTATGTTATAACATGCTGGGTTTTTTTTTTATTATTATATCCTAGAGTTAAAACATGGCAAACGTATTCATTTATAAATCATGAGTGTTTTAACTAGCATGTCTACTTATGAGTTTTTATTAAGCTATGGGATACAGCTGTAACAGTCTACATAAATCAAAAAAGTTTCTACTATGTATTCAAATGCAATTTGCTATCTAATTTAAGGATAATCTGTACATAATTATGATCCAATATAAAAACTTCTGTTTTGCTTAAACCTGACTATTACACAGTGAATTATCAGACATACTATTTTTTACCTCAAAATTTAAATTTTGGGGATTTTTTTTGGGGGGGGAGCTGGTGTTTGAACTCAGGGCCTTGTGGTTGGTAGGCAAGCACTTCACCACTTGAACCACACTTCCAGCTCAAATTTAAGCTTTTTGTTTTGTTTAGTTTTATATAGGCACCCTCCTCCTCCTCCTTAAAGCCAGTAGCTAAATTCACTTATCTCTCAGCTCTGGCAAGTCTTGCCTATAGCCAGGTCATAAACTCCGTAAAAAGGTCTATAGCACTTATATATACATCAACCCTATTGCTAAAATAGTTGAGCCTAAAGCAAATACATATATATATATCATATCTTAATCTATACAGTCCAGACATATTATACTGTATTAAATACTGCATATTACAGATGCTTAAAACAGGTACTAGATATCCTTTTGCTATTATAAGAAATACCACAGAGTGTAATTAGATATGTTCTATGATTCTGATTGGCCTAAGATTATAGACAACAGAAAAATGAAGCCAGTGTGCCATTTATTTGTGAAAGATAACACATAAAACTGTTAACATGAAGACTAGGAGTGTACCTCAAATGGTAGAGTACTTACCTAGCAAGTAAGAAGCCCTAAGTTCAAGACCCAGTACCCCCACCAATAAAAAAATTATAAATGGCAGTAAGAATTTGAGCCTAAAATTCAAGTTGTTAACCACCAAAACACCACTCACTCCTATTCTAGCAGAATAAAAAATACTCTTCAAATTTTCTGAAACACCACCTCTTTCCTTCTAACTCTGACACTATGAATCTATAATTGTTCACATGTAACTAAATGTAAAAATGATAAAATTTAAAAAAAGAACATCAGTGTTTAAAAAAAAAATCAACAAAATTCAAAAAAGTAGCAAAAGAGAAAAACAGATACAATATACCTTAAAAGACATATCGAAAACAATTAACAGGGCCTAGTGGTAGCTCAAGTCTGTAATCCTACCTATTTGAGAGGCAGAGATAAAAAGGACTGACTTTGGGGCCAGTATCAGCAAAAGGTTCAGGAGACCCCATTTCAGTAACCAATGGCTGGGCACGAGTGGTACATGCCTGTCACACTCAGCTACACAGGGAAGCACAAACAGGAGGACAGCAGTCCAGACCAGTGCAGACACAAAGCAAGACCCTATCTCAAAAAAAAGGGGGGGGGTGGAGTAGCCAAAGAGGGATAGGCAGAGTGGCTCAAAAGCACTGAAGAGCCTGCCTTACAAGCATGAATCTCTGAGCTCAAAGTTCAACCTCCAGTACTAAGAGAGAACAATTAACAAAATGGCAATGGTAAATCCTCCTTAATTAGCAATGAATTTTAAAGTAAATGCATTAAACTTCCCAATCAAAGGCCCAGAGTAACTCAATGAATTGTAAAAAATAAACAAAATCAAGGTACAACTACATTCCGTCACAAGAGACCCTACTTTAGACATAAGGACAAAGGCTGAAAGTCAAAGAATGTAAAATGCTATTCCTTGTAAGTGGTGACCAAACATACATCACATGAAATAATTTAGCTCAAAAACTGTCAGAAGAGACAATAAGAACATTATATAATGATAAAAATGTGAATTCAACAGGAATATGTAACAATTATATGCACCACACAGCAGACCACCCAAATACAGAAGGCAAACACTGACAGAATTAAAGGAGATAGAAATAATAAAACGGTAATAGAAAATTTCAACACCTCAGTTTTAATACTGGACACATCAACCACCAAACAGAGTATCAGTAAGGAAACAGAAGACTTGAACACTACAGACCAACTGGATCTAATAGATATATACATGACACTCCATCCAATAACAGAATATACATTCTTCTCAAGCACACCATGAGACACTCTAAGACAAATCACATTAGGCTACAAAACAAGTCTTATCAGGAGTCAGCAGTTTTAGCTCAGTGATACAGCACTTGCCTAGCATGCATGAAACCATGTTGGGGGCGGGAACATGGGACAAATCTTTTAGGGAGCAGGAAAGTATTACTGGGGTTTGAACTCAGGGCCTTGCACTTGCTAGACTGTAGTGCTACCACTTGAGTCACACCCCCAGACCTGAGAGAAAACAAGTCTTAACAAGAACTTATTTTTTCCAACCACAACAGAACGAAACTAGAAATCTAATCTATAGAAATATTGGAAAATTCACAAATATGCAGAAAATTAAGTAACACACTACTGAACAAATATGCCAAGTAAGAAATAACAAGAAATAAAATTTAAAAAGGAAATCAAAAAAGAAATTAAAAAATCTGCAGGTAAGTTAAAACAAAAACACACCAAAATTTATTAGATGCATCAAAAAGCAATACCGAAGAGTTTAGAGCAGTAAATGCCTACTTTAGGGGTGAAAAACAATCTCAAAGCAACCATCAAACTTTACATCTCAAGAAACTAGAAACATAATTTAAATCCAAAATTAATAGAAGGAAGGACAAAGGAACTAATAAAGATTAGAGCAGAGATAAGAAGATATAAAAACAAAGGAAAAATCAACAAAACTAAGAGATTTTTTTTTAATAGGTCAACCCTTTAGCAAGATGAACTAAGAAAAAAAGACTAACAAAAAATAAGATATGAAAAAGAAGACAATATGATTGGTGCCAAGGAAATAAAAAGAATAAGAAACTACATACAATTGTACACCAGGAAACTGGAAAACATAGAAAATTGGATAAATCTCTATAACTGGATGGCCCATTAACCATGAAGAAATGAAAAATACCTGAACAGACCTATAACTGGTAAGAAGATTGAATCAGTAATTAAAAATCTTCCAACAAATAAAAGCCTACGGCCAGATAGCTTCCTCAGAGAATTCTACTAAACACTTAAAGAAGAAGTAACATCAATGTTTCTCAAATTCATCCAAAAAGTTTAAGAGGAGGAAACTTTTTTTTTTGGGGGGGGGTACCAATACTGGGGTTGAACTCAGGACCTCATGTGTGTTAGGCAGACACTCTACCACTTGAACCACTCTGCCAGCCCTTTTTTGAGTTGAGTATTTTGAGACAGGGTCTATAGAACTCTTGGCCCAGGGATGTCTCAAACCTCAATCCTCCTGATCTCTACCTCCTGAGTAGCTAGTGAGCCACCAGCACCCTGCTAGGAGGAAACATATTCCTAAATTCACAGTATGAGGGCAATATTACCATCATACCAAAACGAGACAAAGATACTCTAAGAATATTACAAACCAAAACCCCTGGGGAATACTGATACAAAAATTCTCCACAAAATACTAGTAAACAAAATTCAACAACTTATTAAAATTATTATGCACCATGACCAAGTGGAATTTATTCCTGGAATGAAAGAATTGTTCAATATATGAAAATCTATCAATATGCTACATTAACAGAAGAGGAGGAAACTCTACATGATCATCTCAACTGATGCAAAAAAAAAAAAAAAAAAGGGGGGGGGACAAAATTCAAAGCCAAAAATAAAACAAAAAACACTGAACTAATTAGGTTTAGAAGGAAATGACCTCAATATGAAAAGTCCACATTTAACATCAACTCAGTGGTGAAAAAAACTGAAAGCTTTCCCTCTAGGATCACAAATAGGGCAAGACCTTTACACAGTAGTAGAAGTTTTAGCCAGAGAATTTAAGCAAGAAAACTAAATAAAAAATTTCCAAAACCAGAAATGAAGTAAAATTACCTGTTCATAAATGACATCAATGTCATATATAGAAATTTCTAGAACTGGCAGAGTGGCTAAAGTGGTAGAGCATCTGCCCAAAAGCGTGAGGCCCTGAGGTCAAAACTCCCTCCCCACCCCACACATACAGAATCCACTGTTAGAATAAATAAAGTCAGTGAAATGGCAAAATACAAAAAAATCAACACTCAAAAATCAGTTGCATTTCTATATGCTAGCAATGAGCAATCCATAAAGGAAATTGAGAAAACAGTTTCATTTATACTAGCATTAAAAAGAATAAAATACTTAGGAATAAATTTAATCAGAGATAAAGGCCTGCACAATGAACACTGTAAAACAATGAAATTTAAAATGTCAATGCTACCCAAACTGATCTACAGATTCAATATAATCCCAATAATTAAGTTCCAGTGGCCTTTTTTGCAGAAATAGAAAAATAACTGTAAAATCCTTAGGCAATCTTAAAGGACCCCAAATAGCAAAACAATCCTGCAAAGAAAAACTGTAACTAGAGACTCTGTACTTCCTGATTGGGAAACATGCTACAGAAAGCAACAGTAAACAAAACAGTATGACACTGGCTTAACAGCAGACATGATGTCTAACAGAATAAAAGGTCCACAAATTAACCTTGACAAATAAAGCCGAATTATCTTTGAGAAGGGTGCCAAGGCTACCCAATAAGAAAAGGATAGTCTCTTCAACAAAAGGTATTGAGAAACAAGCTTGAAACAAAATCTTCAATCGTAGTTTAGTCTACTTTCCACACCAGTTAACTTAGTTTTTGATCTGGTTGGCAGCATGAAGCAGTTAGAACAGTACTATACACAGAGGTTTTGTTTCCTAATCCACAATATACTATCACCAATTAGCTATGTGATTCTGGACCCATAACACTTTCCTTTCCCAATTTCAACTCTGAAACATGAGAACTGTTTTTTACTTTTTAAAAATAAAATACTCAGGGACTTTTAGTGTTATTATAAATTATTTTAATTCTAAGGTAAATTAATCTGTATAAACAATATAATAAAGAAACTTCTTATGCTTATGTATTTATATAAATAAGACTAAATCAACTTCATGAATGAAACTCAAAAACGTGACGTTTGACTACACTAATATTGGATTTAATGATAAAGATATGCCCATCAGGTACAGTTCTTAATCATTTCCTGTACTTTTAATTCTATCACTGCAGAAAATGCATGTTGAACTTATTAGCAACTCTGCTGCTTATTTTGTTTCATTACATCTCTTGCTCAAGCAAACAGAACTTATTTTTCCCCCAGTACTGGAGTATAAACTCAGGGCCTGAACTTCTACTACTTTGGCCATCCCCCAGCCCAGAGACAATGTAGGTAAATTTACATTTTTTCTTTGTTTTTTTTTTTTTTTTGGAGGGGGAAGGTGGGGAGCACAGTACTGGGGTTTGAACTCAGCCTTGAGCTTGGCAGTCACTCTGCAACTTGAGCCATGCCCAAACTGAGAGAACAATTCTCAAATGTCGAATTATATGACATTCAGATCTCCAACATTAAAAGGATCATCTTGAACAAGTCATTTTTCTCTCTGGACTTTTTCTCTCCCACTGTAAAATGGAGGGTTAACACTCAGATAAGAGATTTCTGTAAAATACAAAATAAGGGCTGGAGGCCCTACTCAAGTGGTAGAGTGCCTGCCTAGCAAACATGAAGCCCTAAATTCAAACTTCAGTACTACCACCCTTCCCCCCCAACTATATATATTAAAAAAAATTATACATATATATATTTATGTATAAATATAAAATAATAAACACATTGCAGATTTGTTTTACTTAAAATTAATCAACATTAGAGAACAGTTAAAAAAAAAACTAGGTGTATGGTGCTAGGGATTGAACCCAGGGCCTTGAGATTCCAAGAAGTGCCCTACCAATGACCTACACATCCCCAGCCCTCAGAAAAAACATTTAAAATCTGCAAATCACTCTATATCTCCTGTCCAGCTTTACGCATTTTTTTACCTAACTTGGATTTCACAGTCAGTAAATCATTCTAATAATGTACTCCAAATCACCATTACATCCCTTGTATACGTGACTTCCCTTCCCATTCGCACTTTACTCCAAGGCCCAATCTGAAATGATAACCACTTTCAGCACTCTTCATTCAAATCTGGGTGCTGAACCTCTCTGGAGAAAATGATAAAACTCTCCTCAGTAATCTCCTGGTTACCTACTCCAGTTTCCTATGCAATCTTCCACAGTCGCAAGGCCAAATCTCTGTACTCAAGCCCACCAACTCTCAGCACATGACCTTGCTCTTCCTTACTGAGATACCATGGAATGAGTTCCAGTCCCTATTCAACTGACTGTTGACAGGTATTCAACTTACGAATTATTACCTGCAATTAATTCCTCTTTCTATGTTAGTTCCTTCGTTATTTCACAAAGAAAATTTTAATAGTATAAATGTTCACTTTACCTGCATCTCTTCAAACTCCAATTTATCATATCCTGCAGTCCAAGATTAAAGTTCACCTCAGACTTTATTGCTCCTTATTTAAAAACTATTATACACAGGTTGTGGTTGTAGTTTAGTGGTAGAGTACTTGCCTAGTATTCACATACAAGGGCCCTGGGTTTGATTCCAGCACTGCAAAAAATAAACTCTTTAGTGTGTGTGCGTGATACTGGGGTTTGAACTCAGGGCCTCATGTTTACTAGGCAGGCACTCTACCATGGTTTTTTTTTTTTTTTTAATTATTCTTCAGCTGGGTACCAGTTCTCATGCCTATAATCCTAGCTAGACTGAGATCAGATGATTCGAACTTTGAGGTCAGCTGCGGCAGGGAGCTCTCAAGACCCCATCTCAACCAAGAGTTGGGCATAGTCCAACTATGCCCTTGGGATGCACCAGTCATCCCAAGCTACAGGGGAGGCTGAGACTGAGAGGATCACAGTTCCAGACCACCCTTGGCAAATCAGCTTGTGAAACCCCATCTTCACAGAAAAAACCTGGGTGTGGTAGTTCTCGCCTATCATCCCAGCTATAGCAGGAAGCTTAAAATAGGAAAATTCAGTCCAGGCTTGCCTGCGCAAAAAAGCAAGACCTTATCTTCAAAATCATCAGAGCATAAAGGGCTAAAGGCATAGTTCAACTGGTAGAGCACCTGCCTAGCAAGGGTGAAGCCCTGAGTTCAAACCCAAGTACCGTGAAAACATAAAGATTCTTCAGTTAAACATTAAGACAATACACAATGTGATCTAAATTAACCTTTCCCACTCATGTTCTAAAATTGACTCTCTGCCTCAGGCAAATCAAATTCCTTAACTCTTTCTCAAGCATACCACACATTTTCCAACTTCACTACTTTCCCCTCACCTGAGTACTTTCTACCTGCCTATTAATATGCTAATAAAATATTATGAAGGACAATTTGCAGTACACATATAGTATTTAAAAGTATGCAATGTCCATAAGCATGGCAATTCCACTTCCAAGAACTGAGCCTATGTAGTAGTAGACAAATGGACAAAATAAAATTAAGTACAGAGATCCTCAACATTAAGAACATAGAACTCCTAGTTATTTTCACCTCTGTGTCTTTGTTTATACCATCCTTTTGCTGGGAATGCCCTTGTTTTCCTTCAGTTGCATTTCCCTGTTCTCATCTTTCTGACTCATTCTTGCAGAAAACTCCAATTCTCATTTAACATCTTTAACTTGATAGTAATATCTCACATAAAATCAAAACAAGATTTCATAAAATGCTTACAATGAATGTATCTCCATTTTGGAATTTGACAAGCCTAAAAACTGGCACAAAAAGTAAGCAGGGGCAGGAAGTATGGCTCAAGTGGTACAGCACCTGTGAGTTCAAACCCCAGTACACTCCCCCCACCAAAAAAATTAGTAAACAGCAAATGCTCATCTATTCATGAGCACCAAAGAATGAAGGATTCAGTAAAAGGAACTGAAATACCATTAAATGCCAAAACCCTGTTTTGTCCAAATATAGTTCTGCTGCCTTCTATCAGTGGACTTTCACTCCTAGAGATTTTCAATGTGCCTGATTTGTCTAGCTTATTTCTTATTTCTTTCTACTTCGCTGCTTAACTTATACAGCAAAGCCTACTGAAATTTGGACATTCATAACATTACTTTCACTGCTCAAAGGATAGTAATGTTCTCTACTACATTCTGAAGAGCTAAAATTTCTAGCAAACCTCTAGCAGAGTTAGGTACCACTGTTACAATGACCATTTCAACACAATTTTTAAGCAAAAATTACGAAAAAGATTGATAAACCACAGGACTGGCTATCAAAGAATTTGCTATTCAGTCAAATGAAATAGAGTAACAGTATGACACAACATGAACAGTATTTAAGCAATATTGAACAACAGAAGAAATAATACATGGCTATAGCACTGTGAACAAAACAAGTCACAAATGCCCGGAAAAGAGAGCAAATAATTTAGGAACCTAAAGAAAACTATTTTTCTTTTTTAAGTAGAAAATGGAAAAAAAAAGAGGGAAAGAAAGATTCTGAAACAATTTTCACAAAACCTTAGCCAAATTGGACCTTCTGATTATGCAGAAGAAAATCTAGTGAAATGAAGCTCTCAACATTTGTTTTATATTACTGTGAAATAATTTTATGGCAACGTTTACAAAACTCAACCTTACTGCAGACTTAAGACAAAACTAGTATAAGCTTACCAATCTGTTAAATGATAAAAAGTATAAGCTTACCAATCTGTTAAATGATAAAAAGTACCAACATGAAAGATATATTCAGAAAGTTTTCTTACCTTGAATATACCAACCCAATCTTTTGGATGTGGATGGATATATGGAGTTAAGGTGTAATGACATTCCAGATGTGTATTAGGAAGATAACTCTTAGCCACATTTTGAAAGATGACATGGGCAAAATTGGAAGTCTGCAATGGAACTTCTTGAAAGGATGTCATTGTGAATCTGAAACAAGTAATACATACAAGTTCAATAGCTAAGAATAAACTTACACCTTCAAAAATATATAACTTTTAATGCAAATTTCATGGTTATTCACATATCACAATTATTGAGAAGATACATATTTTTTTAAATATTGGAACTTCTTAAAAATTAATATAAAATAAAATTAAGAAATAACTAGAGCCAATATAGCTCAGAAAGTTACATGGGGGTTAAAAAGTCAAAAATAAAGCCAGGTATAAGGCAAACACCTGTAATCCCAGCACCAGAAGGCTGAGGTGGGAAAACCATGAATTCAAGGCCAGACTAGGCTGCATAGGCGAGTCTCTGTCTTTAAAAACGAAAACTTCAACTCTCCTGCAGAATCTAGACTCTGCTTCTATTCTAACCAAAAACAAATGAACCAGAGTATTTTAACATACATGCTGCCATATAAACCTGCTGGCATCTAGTAACAGCCACTAAGAAACAGAAATCAGGACAGTTAAACATCAGATTTCATTGGTTAACTTTGTGTAGTCCCTTTGAACCTCATCATTTTCCTCCTGAATCAAACCCACTCCATCTCTCTGCCTAGGTTCTAGTCTGTTACAACCAAACCTAAGCTAATCTCTCTGCCTGCATTCTCAACCCATGATGTGATTCCCTGGACTAACATTTCTCAATCCTAGTTTCACATTAGAATCAAAAGGAACCTTCTAAAGAAAAAAAAGATATGACTTTCTTAGAGTGGATATGTGTGTATTTACATTTCTCTCCCCAGTCTCTCCAAATAACTCAATCATATTTGCAGCCAAGACATCCAATACTTTGCCTCTAATTCAGCTCAACAACATAAGTCTCCACTACCAGCTCTCACTCATTTCCATAGATTTCAGACCCCGCATGTCTTTTTGAGCTTGATACAAGCTTTTCAAATCTCTTAAACCAGGCGCCCATGATTCACACCTGTAATCCTAGCTACATGGGAGGGAGAGACTGGAAGGATTGCAGTTTGAAGCCAGCCCAGGCAGATAGATCTCAAGACCCTATCTCGGAAATACCCAACACAAAACAGGGCTCAAGTGGAGTGGCTCATGTGACAGAATGCTTGCCTAGCAAGCATGAGGCCCTGAATTCAAACCCCAGTACTGCCAAGGGGGAAAAAAAAAAAAAAAAGTCTCTTAAACTATGTAAAACTCTCTATTTGAAACAGCTCTATTTGTTCCTCTCAACCTGTATCAATTCTACCCTTTCATTTTGGGTTTAATGATCCTATCCTGGCTTCTAGTACTCATGTATCCTCTATTCATGTATTTACTGATCAAGAATAAAACGGATAGTAAAAATAAAAGTATACTGTCAAGAAATACATATTGCTGCTGAAAATCTATTAGAGATTCAGTGAATGCTCATTAGCTTAGTAAACATCAAGCACTAGGTAGCAGATGAGTGGTAAAGATGGATTATAAAACCTGCAAAGTCCTAATTCTCTCCTATTTTGTGCTCTACTTTTGAGAAAAGGAAACTGGGGATTTACCCAAAAAAAAGCAACCTACAGAGTATTTCACAGGTTCAGTACAAAGACTAATTTTGCAGTACAAAAAAAGAAACTATGACTGGCTTTCTGGCACTTGCTTCTGAGTCATTAAACGAGAGCTCCTGTAATAATGGGAAAAACCGAGACAGTATTTTTGCTAACCAAAGTAAACCTAATTTACTTCAAAGCTCAATGAAGTTTCTACAGAGCAAACACAGCAGTACTCTACTTATGTTTTAACAAACCTTATTGTTAAACAAGGTGCAGTACTCACACCTGCAATCCCAGCTACTCCGGAGGCAGAGATCAGGAGAATCAAAGTTCAAAGCCAATGCAGGTAAAAAGTGAGGGGAGACCCCATCTCAACCAGTAAGCTGAGTGTGGTGGTATATGCTTGTCATCCCAGTAATGCAGAAGGAATAAATATGAAGATCTGAGGATTGTCATTCAGGCCAGCCTGAGCAAAATCACAGACTCTATTTGAAAAATAACTAAAGCAAAAAGGGCTGGGACATGGTAGAACACCTGCCTAGAAAGTGCAAGGTCCTAAGTTCAAAGCCCCAATATCGCCAAAAAAATAAATAAATAAAATCCATAATCCAACCTTACACTTCTACTTCACTGATATTTTATAGGTACAGAAAGGCTTTCAGGTATAGACATGTGTGTGTGCCAATTAAATGCTGCATCAAAAGGGATTCAAAGTATACACCATACAGTCTTTAGTTATGAGGGATGTGTATGAAAAGAAACTTTAGCAGGCAGGTGTGGTGGCACACACCTATTAATTCCAGCACTGAGAGGCTGAGGCAAGAGGATCACAAGATTGAGGTCAGCTACACATAGATGCTGTCTCAAAAAAAAAAAAAAAACAGAAGTGGACTATTAACTCAGCACCATTAATGTTAACCATTTATTGCTTGAATTTTTAGATAGATACACACATTATTTTTGTTTTACATAACTATGTATTAGCATAAAATCTCATTTTAATCTCTCCTCCAAAATTCAAGTTTTTAATAGAAAACACTAACATTGCACTTTAAAATATTCATGATGCTTGTAAGTCAAAGAGTAAGAAAACTTGTGATCATTCTTTTAATAACCTTCATGAATCTTTCATCAATACTTCAATCTTTTCAATGCTATTTGTAACTATAGAGTTATTTTACAAAATGAGACCCATTGAAACTACTCTAAGAATAACGGGAAAGGAATAAAGGAGAATGATGAACTAAGACATATTACAAGCACTTTTGTAAATATCCCAATGTACTCCCAGAATAGTAATATAATAAAAAAATTAAAATAAAAAATATTTTATAAGTCATTCCACTATCCTTGTTGTTTCTCACTTTTATTAACCTACAAATAGCTTCTAGTTATTTAAAAAGTTAACATGAATGACTGCAATCTAAAAATTACATCATGAATCAACCCATTTTAAATTAATAAAATTTCTACTTCCCACACCATTGTTCTGCTTCACTTCTCCCACAGATAAGAAATACAACAAAGTGATGGAAAAGCTTATAAAAATGTTGGAATGCAATGAGAGTGCCAAAGCTGCACCAGCAGTGGCCCAGTGGAGAAGTAATATGCAAAGGTACTGCATCACCTTGTGGTAATGGTGGGGAAGTGTAGCTTCACTAACACCCTGAGAAAAAGTATAAGCACTGCCTCAGCTGGAAAGATGAAAAAACAGCCCCTGCACATACAGGGAAGTAAAAGCAAGCAACCATAAAGCTACCATACCAAATTCTGCTTCCCATTCTCCACAGTACATCTCCAGAAACAGGAGTATAGCAAGATCGTAAGCCAAGGACAAGGAAAATTTTTCCAGTCAACAATTAAAGGCCAGACACATTTGTCTAGGAAACAATATATGAAATGCATATACATGCTGGTATATACATGTAATACAAATGCACATACATGTTCCCTCTTCCAGGTTTCCTACTGCATTTCCTAAAGTTCTACTACATCTAGAATTCCTTTATGTCATGTTGCAAACTACATTATAAAGTCTTTGACCTAAATTCCAATGTTATTTTGGGAATTCATTAGTATCTAAAGAAAAGTAGTATGTAGTGGGCACTCAGTTAAGTATATGGCTAAAATAATCTTAGGAGGGAAAAAGCATTTCAATGTTATCTTTACTTTCTCCTCATGGACTTTTGTATGCCCAAAACAGATCTGCCTTTTGTGGTAATATTTTTTCCAGTGGCCCGATACTGGTTGTACTTAACTAACTCAAGAATGTAAGCCTTGGGGCACCCTCTCTCAGGACCCCTCCCAGCTCTACAAGCTCTACTCTTTGTTACTTACTCTTCTATTTCAATAAACTCTCCCACTTTACTAGAAAACGAAAGAATGTAAGCCTTTGCCAGGAAGGGGTGGCTCACAACCTGTAATCCTAGCTATTCAGGAGGCACAGATCAGAAAGATCTTGGTTCAAGGCCAGCCCAGGCAAACAGTTCACCAGACACTATCTTGAAAAACCTCAACACACACACACACAAAAAAAAGATAATAAGCCTTAATCAACTTAATAAAAAATAGATCATACTAAGAACATGATAAACATGATTTTTTTTTTTTTCTGCAGTACTAGGGTTTGAATTCAGGGCCTACACCTTGAGCCATTCCACCAGCCCTTTTTTGTAGTGGGTTTTTTTTCGAGATAGGGTCTCATGGACTATTTGCCGGGGCTGGTTTCAAACCACAATCCTGCTGACATGTGTCTCCAAAGTGGCTAGATTATAGGCATGAGCCACCGGCACACGACAAACATGATATAATCTAAATATTTAATATATTTTGCCAATCCCAACAACAGAATTCAAAGAAGTGGTTTTGTTATGTGTGATAATAATTATGATTTTTAAGTCCTTATCAGTTAGGGATACTAATTATAGGTGAAATATATTGAATTCTGGGATTTGCTTTGAAAAATCTAGGAGGAGAAAATTAGATGTGCTGATGTGAAACAAGAATGGCAAAAATCTTAGTTCACTTTATTGTTCCTTTTCCTGTTGTGTATGGCTGAGATTTTCCATAATAAAATAAGACAAAGCAAATAAAGAAACAGACTAGTAGTAAGAACTTCTGTGTATCACCTACTGCAATAGAAACACACTGTTTTTTGTTTTGTTTTAGTTTGTGTTTCTTTTGCCAGTACTGGGGTTTGAACTCAGGGTCTCATGCTAGCAAGGCAGTCTCTCTACCACTTGAGTCACTCCACCAGTATTTTTGAGACAGGGTCTGCTGGCCTCGAACCTTAAGCCTCCTGATCCCTGCCTCCTCAGGGATTACAGGCTTGAGTCACCAACACCTAGCTTCATTTCTTAATATAAACATTTTGTGTCCTTAAAAGTGTCATAATTCAGGTAGTGGCTGACAGCAAAAAGTGCTTTTAAAAAATCTTCATTTAAAAAAAATGAGACTTTAAAATTGTCTCCAAACTCTGGTCCTATAGGACATAAATGTTTGAAGAAAAAAAAAACCTGACATTCAAATAGTTTACAACTACTCACTCATCAGCTGGAAGACTCTCATGCAGACATTTACTCCAGAAGAAAGTTACTGGCAGTCTTTCTGGGAGGAAGAAGCCAAGCCCCAAGTCCATTCATTTGCACTCTTGCAGACATCCCTATTTCCATAATCCTTTAAAGCTGAGCATCCCTACACTCTACCCAGTTGTATCCCACTCCACTTTACTTTTCAGATTTTTTTATAACTTAGTTTCTAAAATGCTATGCTCTTGTCCCATCAATTACAGAGAGAATTTTTTATCTGCTTCTAAAGATTTGGGGGCAAAATAAATTTTAAAAAGCCAGAAATACACAAAGCCCAAACTTTACATAGTAATATCCATGCCAAAAGAACACAATCCAATAAACTTTATTCTTGAGATACTTCCTCCAAAGAAGAATAAGAACATAAACAGGATCTCTCAAATAGAATCTTAAAAGATTGAAACTTAGAATTCCAAAATACCTATTATTTTTGCTTAGGAAAAGGTATTTACTGGCTAAATTTTACACACCTGCTTGCACTCTTAAGTGTAAAAAGATGTGCGGCCGAAGAATATGGTGACTAGAAACAAATACAATAAGGTTTTATTTGAAGTTTAACAGACTGCAAAAAAAAAAAAAAAAAAAACTAGCATAACCAAATAATCCTTCAAGAAGCTCAGCCAGCATGGTGGTTCACACCTGTAAATCCTAGCACCAGAGGCTGAGGGAGAAGGCTCACAAAACCACTGGTTAATTGACTGTCTCAGGGGGGAAAAAAAAAAGAATCAAATTTCCCTTTAAGAAGAAGAGAACCAACAGGGTTTCTCCTCAGCCCCTTCTTTTCATCTTGAGGATAAGCAGCCCACGTCAGATTAATATATTATTCAAAGGATCTTAAACACTTTTGAAATTATAACTGTTCCTGCACAATTCGAAGAAATTTTACCACTAGCAGAATACGTAGTTGAAAAGTTAAGATGTTCTCCTCTAAATCCCTAACTTATCAATATAAGCTACTCTATAAAACCGAAAATCCACGTACAGTCAAACGGCACACAAAGGAGACAGACACACACACACACATTTCTTAATAGAGAAATAGGCAGGGACACACCAGCTAAGCAGTAACCGTACAATTCCGGAACCACCTGGGGGAGCGGGCGGAGTTGTGAAATCAAAGTTGACCAAACAAAAACAATACCTGACTGTCCTCCGAGACTTCTTAAACACTTCTCAAGCAGCAGGGGCAGAACCGAAGCCCAGGAGGAGGCGATCCGGCCCAACAGCTAACTCCGCCCGCCGCCCTCTGAGGCAGGCGACGCAGGAGGCCCCGCCTCCCTCACCGCTGGCGACTTAAACCAAAACAGTCGGTCTCTCAGGGCACAGGCAGACCCAAGCGTCCTTCCCGACTCCACCTAGACGTTTTCCCCAGCTCACCTACGCGGATAACACTCACGCTATCCTCAAAACGGTCACCTGAAGTTAAGCCTCGGACACGAGTGACCCCAGCTCCGGTCACTCGTCCCCAGCCAAAAGGCCCGAGTCACACACGCCTCCCCTAAACCGCAAAGGCCTCTCCGCAGTGCCAAGCGGTCACCCTACTCCAGGACTAACCCGCGCCGCCTACGCACCCGTCACAATCTCAGTCCAGGAGGGAAGGTTTGTCCTCGGGAAGGAAAACATCGTCATACGGCAGCGGCGTCACCAAACCCAAAACCCTCCAGACACCTAGATTCTAGGGACTGAGGGGCGTACCACGAGTCTCTGAACAACTCCGGCTAGGGTCAGCCCTGCGCAAGGCTATAGGACCGACCGGAAAGACGTCTTACCCAGTGAGAGACTCCCGAATCGAGGGGAATGTTAAACAAGTTTCCAATTCTGAGCCGCCATCAGCCGCCTAACCTCTTCCGCCACCTCCACCGACCGGCTAAACCTTCCCTCAGCCGGCGCCACGTCACTTCCGCCCATGGGGCGGGTCTTTCCGCCGCCGCGCATGCTCGGCATGCCCGGTCGGGTCAACACATACCCTCCACACACACTTCCGCCCGGCCCTTTGCTCCTCTAGTGGCTGTTTCTCCCTTCTACGGCCTTGACGTTTTCGCCCCGCCGCGTGGTCGCAACAAACAGGATCCCTTTGATACTTAAGTAACTTATCAGCGAGGTGGAAAGGGTTGCCTAGAGGCATATAGGCCATTATCTTGTCACTGCCTGGATCGTAAATACCTGTCTAAACTAATTCACCTATTTTATAGATAAGGAAATAGATGCTGGCAGAGTAGCTCAAGCGGTAGAGCGCCTACTTAGCAAGCGTGAGGCCCTGAGTTCAAACCCCACGCCGCAAAATATAATTCTAACAATAATATAGATAAGGAAATAGAAAAGCAGGGGAGTGCAGGGAGCGACCCCACGGTTGGGCTGCAACCCTTAAACCTCAAGGCTTTTTCCCAACCCTTAGTCCGGTCCTGTGCTGCTTTGAACTATGAAGTTTTGTTCCCTGTAAAATCCTGTTTCTCCTAGGAGCTTTTCAGTTCTAACGCTCCCACAGTGACCCGTTTCCACACACATTTCTTTTGAGTTGTTAATTGCTTTTAATATCTGTAGTATTTCGTGTGTGTGAATTTTGTCCTGTGTTTCTGTTCATTTATAATTTCTAAAATCGCTTTTGACTGTTCTGTAGCTTACCTTTCTGTACTAGGCATTCGGTTGGAATCCTACCTCCCCAGAAGCAAGTGTGTTCTATTCAAATCCATCTTATTCCTGTGTTGCCATAAAACCCTGATAAAATTTGCAATACCACCAGTGAAGAAAGGGCAATAAATTAGATCACATTAAACCTGGGAATGAGTTGAGGTGGTAGCTCAGTACAGCACTAACCTTGCAAAAAAAACCTTGTGTTCTATCCCCAGCACTATTGGGGGTGGGGGAAGTTTGGAATGAAACCTTGAAACACCCAAAAGCACATGCAAAATCCTCTTTCACATACTTCCACATATTCAAACTGACAGCTTCCATAAAATAGGCTCTCAATATTTTCTGACTGATTCGTTTCCTATATTTTGAAATCTTTGAATTTGGTCTTAGGCTGTGTGATGTACTTGATCCTAGAATTCCAGGAGAACCTTAACACATGGTTTAGTACCAGTCCCAGATCATGAGTTTGACGTTGAAAATAGGAGTTTTGAGCTGGGAACCAGTAGCTCACACCTGTAATCCTAGCTACTCAGGAGAATCATGTTTGAAGCCAGCCCAAGCAAATAGTTCACAAGACCCTATCTCAAAAAGCCCTTCACAAAAATAGGGATGGTGGAATGGCTCAAGGAGAAGGCCTTGAGTTTCAACTCCAGTACCACAAAAAAAAAAAAGAAGAAGAAGAAGAAAGAAAAAAATAGGAGTTTTGAACCCAAGGCCCAAACTCCTGGGATTCCATATGCCAGTTCAGGCCACTTGTACCTATACACCAAATAAACAGGAATGGTGAAGGGCAGAGAAAGGAGATCTATTACACAGCTCCAGACACACCATGGGACTACACGGGAAGAGGCAGAGTGAGAACTTGGCCCATCTTTGGGGTGTAGACATGAGTTATTAGTTTAAGCAGACAAAAGAACTGGAGGCAGGGGACAAAAGGTATGCATAAACAGTCCCAGTCACAGATGTGGTCTGGTTGGTCATTATCTCAGTTCTTGTTCAGGAAGAGGTTTCGGAGTTGTTATCTGGAATCATTTTCAACTGGCAGGTGGTCCATCCTTAGGAGGCTTTACTCTTGGGAGTAGTTGACATACTTGTCATGAAGATATTATCCAAGGTGATTGCAAAGTAACTGCAAAGAGCATGGCTTAGAGCAAAGACAGATACAAAATGGAGAGCTGCCCCACTTTTCTCCTGCTTTTAGTTATATGTGGGCATGAGCAGGGAGTCCATGCTTTTCAGAAAGAGATTATCACCTTCAAAACCAAGCATCCTGCCCAACCTCCTTTTCTTCTAACATGCTTATAAGTTAAGTAGGCTAGGCAGTTAGCTAAAATTAGATCGTGTAGCTAGGACAGAAGGGCCCCTGGAAACCTCTATTATGACTTCCCTGTGTGAGAAATACAGTTTGAGTTCAAACTCAAAGAATGGACTCAGAGACACGTTGAGTACAGTGAATGTGAGACTTTAATGGCAGTCTTGCAAGATGGGGTGCCTGGTGAACAGACACACCCAAAGCCATTGCAAGAAGCATTATGTTCTCTGATGTGCAAGTCCCTTCCCCAGTTCTTCATTGGCTGAATACTATGGGGCATACATTCCTCCTCCCTCCCCCACATCATCTAAATTTCCTGTTGGTTTATTTTAAAATATGCCTGTCTCCGGATTGGCCAAATTTTAGAAGCGGGGTTTAAGTGGCATCCGCCTTCCTTTATGGCAGGAAGGTCTCCCTTGATATGTGCTTTCTGGCATATACACAGTTTTTACCCATTTCCTCATTCTATCATGTTTTACCCCTCCCAGTTTAAGCTCCCTTATCAGTTGGCCTCCCCCAACATCTGCAAGCTGATATGCAAGCCTTGCCTTGAAAATGGACCACCACTGACTATTTCTAACACCTGTGACCTTAAAGGGTGGAAAGAAGGAAAAGCAGGACAGACAAGAACGAAGACTAGGGCATGACCAATCAGAATGTTGCAGGCACAGACTACAGGAGTACTGCTTTCTACACATCTAATTAGCATAGAGATTGAGCAACACTGAGGTAAATGGATAAAAACCTTAGACCGGTCACTTCTCTAATAACCCTCTCTTGGAACCCTCCCAAGGGGCTCTCCTCTTTGCTATTTTTCTCTCAATAAACTCTCCTGCTTTACTCTCTCTTGTTCTCTGTGATTTTCATTCTTTGAAATTGCAAGACTAAGACCTCAGGCTCAGACCAGCAAGTCTGGTGACACTTATTCAAATATACTTACTAAAGCTATTTTTCAAACTCATCAAGAGCTCTAATCCTTTAAGCTTACTTCTTTTAATACTTCCCTCATTATTCAATTTAGAGGCCTGTGTACTGTCATCTCATTACCCATACCCTATCCTATAGCCATACATTTCCAGTACCCATGGCTTCCTTTGTTGCACATTAAGTACAGCTTCCTCTATCATCTCATGCTTTACCGCCAAAGCATTACCTCTGGGAATACTAGGCAAAATTTTTGAAGTTAAAATTGAGTGTCTTGGTAAGTTTCTTGCACTCTCAAAGAGAGAAACTGTGATTTATGGAGAAACAGAGTCTGCAGAGATTCAAACTTCAGTAAGACCTTCGCCCACCTAGCTCGTAACAGTGTTCTTTGTTCCTGGTGTAACTGAAATGTCACTCCAATGTAAATATTCTCTAACCTCTCTTCTTTGTCGTACTGGAATAGCCAACATAGTACTTTGTATTCTTACAGTCCTTTGGTCAACAAGTTTCTTTCCTCTAGGTGTTTCTTACTAAATTTCTTTACTCTGTGAGTCACTTGGGTATCAATGGTATTCAATAATAATAAACACATTTTAAGAAACATCGTCAAGGTAATCTTAAGGTTTGATTTTAACAAAAGCTCTAGCAAAGTTTTAAGTTGAAAAGTGTTTTTATTTATGCAGGTCCCAAGTCCTCCCACTGTCTTGGAATCTCTCCAACTCCATTATCTTTTGAACATTCTCAAGTCTTTTTCACTTTTTTTAACTTCCCCAGTTCAGCATTTCCCTCCAGCTCTATCTTTTTCTTCACTTTCACAAACTTCTCATTTCTAGAAAGAACTGTCCATATCGCACTCCATCATTTCTCACCCATTTCACCCCACTTCCTTTTGGATGCTTCACCCCATCAAAACAAACCAGCTTGCATTGATGTCATCATGTGCACCATGTGCTCCAGACAGACAAAGCCATTGAATACTCAGGCACATCCCATGGATACTCACCTGAAGCCTGACCACATCTCATGATTTCTTCAGGAGTCAGGGATCCATGAAAAGGACTGTGAATTTTATCCATGACTGGAGAGCTCAGTCATCTACCTGACTGATTGCCAGCCTACTTCTAAAAACATTCTTGAGTGCCTAAAAATTGCAGCAGAGAGAGGGAGTTGGGGAATTATGGTTGCAACAATTATCAGTGCCTTCCAGTTCTAAATCCATCCATTATGCCTGTTCTATGAAAATGCATATTGGTCTTTTAAATATTTGTTCTTTGCCAACTGGCACAATGTTAAGCTTTGTCAGTGAAAAGTGTTGGAGAGATTGCAAAGGGAAAGGATTCTGGTTCCTGGTTCCTTTGTACTCAGTCAACAGACTCCCATTGTATAGGTGGGTTGTCAAGTGTCCAGCTTCTATACCCACTCAGCTTTCCCAGTGTCCAGCTCCTTCAGTTCTGGGGACTTCTTCAGGTACCGATTCCTGTAGTGCACAGAAGCTAGCAGCACCCAGCAACTCACACTCACCATTCCCACTCTCCTCATCACTCATATTCTCCTCTGTGCCCTTTTTTTAATGTGCCCTCCAAAAAGATACAGCTCTGTGAACAACTTCCCCAGAGCCCTAGAGGGCATATTTCCAACAAGTTCCAGATGATGCAGAGGGCAAATTATCAACAAGATGCAGGGAGTAGATTTTCAGCAAATTCCAAATAGAGGAAGTTCCAGGTGATGGATTTCTGGCAAATCCACCAGTTCAGTGACACAAGAATTTCTCTGTAGAACTTCTTCATTCAGTTCACACACACACATGTGCACATGTACCCCAGCCATGTCTCTCCAAGACTTAGATCTCAACCCTTATTGGGCATTCTATCTCAGCTCCCGAAGGTAGTG